CAATCTGATAAAAAAAAAATAAAAAAGCAACAAATTTGATGCACGTGTGCGAGGTCACATCTGGAACGCCTCTTGCATGTGCCCATGTCTTAGGTCGGAGAACCACACATTAATGGACTGCCTACGGGGTTTACACACCAAACATTGAATTGAGCTAACTTGAACTGATTTGCAACATTTAGGGCAATGCAACCAAGTTGGAAAACCAGTTGAAACTGAGAATTTTTCCAGCGTAGATACTTTGACCTAAATTCTCCAGTTTAACCCCTTAAGGACCAAACTTCTGGAATAAAAGGGAATCTTGACATGTCCCACATGTCATGTGTCCTTAAGGGGTTAATGTTTAAATTAATCTCCACCATAAGCAACAGAACTGGAGGAGAGTCTATTTTCACTTCTCTGGAAGTAACAATTCCTTGTTCCCTCAGTTCAGTGAACACTATTGAAGTGTTTACTGGGGTGAATAATGTTGCAGGGTTCAGTAACAAAACACACACACTTACCTCTGCTGCAATTCTGTGTTCACCTTAGGACACTTTGACACCTTGCCGCATGCTCCAACCACTACAGAGACGTGGCCTAGGACAGGGGTAGGCAGCCTTTGGCACTCCAGATGTTTTGGACTACATCGTTCATAATGCTCTTACAGCCATAATGCATCGTGGGAGTAGTAGTCCACAACATCTGGAGTGCTGAAGGTTGCCTACCCTTGGTCTAGCAGCACTTACATGCCCAGGCTTTTCTATAGTAGTGTCGCAGGAATACCTATGTTGCTGGGGTTAATTTAATTTGCTTTGCAGACAGGGCATGTAAAGCAAAAAATTAATTTTAAAAACTCAGATTTACTTTTTGTTAGCTATCAGCATGTGCAGAAATCTCATAAGTGATTCATGTTTAACGGAGGATGAAACAAGGCGAACACATTTTCATTTTTTTGACACATCTGCTGGTGGAGTGCAACTGTCAGTTTCACAATGAAAAACAGCTCAGTGACTCATGGGAAAATTATTATTATTATTATTTTAGAAGAATTGCATATTTCATAGTACCGAAATGTTGGTGTTGATGAAGCAAAATCTTTTTAAACATTTTCGTGCTGGCAATTAGGTATCTCTGTTTGATCTTGAAGATGCTAATCAGAACAGATGACCTTAGGTGGATGCCTACTGCCCGGGGATAGAGAGGACACTGGAACCATAAATTTTCTAGGACCCATCCACTATTCCATGTAAAGAATCAAGGGGGCCGCCTACTGGCAACATTCATAGGGCTGCATTGTCCCCCAAGTACATAATACAGTTCTGGTCCCTCACTTTTTAATGCATTTGTCTACTATCTTTGCTGTGCTGGATCTCTATCCAGTGCACCCTCATCTTAAAGATCCTGGCAGTGATGCAGAGTCCTTGCCTTTGCCAGCAGTCCACACCGTTTAAATTCCCACGCATGTGCTGCACGCTGACATTAAGAAGAGCACATAGTAAGAATCTTGAGATTACAGCCGATGGACATGATAATCAGGTGGGCATTGTGGAATTATTGTGGTTATAAAAGGAAGTAAAACTTGTTTAAGCTCCACCCTTTGTCACGCATTGTCAAGTGCAGGAAGAATCCAAAAGACAAAGTGGATTCTTTGTCTTCTGCATTGGGGTGAAAAAGATCAAAAATGAAAAAAAGAAGACCTGATTCAGAGAGAGGGGAAGAAAATGAATCTATTTAGTAAAAGTAAGCGTGGCATGACAGTGCCACTTTAATCCTTCTCTGATGTTTATCTGCATATTATTCTTTGGGTTTTAGAAGGTATTAACTGGACTTCCTTCAAATACTGAATAATCAGTTGTTTAAACATCTCACACAGGACATATATGTGGATTTCTCCATTAGTAAACATACCAAATCTATTTCCTATTGCAATGGGTTCCTAACTTTCATTAAATAACATTTAAATTTAGTTCTAGACAGGTTCTGAAACTCTGCTAGCCTGGTGAGTCCACAGCACACCCACCAAGGGTGAATTTCTAGTCGCCAGGGCTCAGTTGTCACTCACAAATGTCTAAAGGCAGGTGGAGATATTTAAGCCATGGTACTAAAAATGCTTTTACCTACAATTTCCAGTATTGCTAATTCTCAGAATATCATGTTATATACATGTTCTGAGATTATTCAAATAAATCAATTAAACAGTGCTGTTTAGTAGACAACAAACGGAAAAGTTTTTATGATCTTAGTATGTTCACCGTGAAAGCTCTCATGATCCTAGTATGTGCACCGTGAAAGCTTTCATGATCCTAGTATGTTCACCGTGAAAGCTTTCATGATCCTAGTATGTGCACCGTGAAAGCTCTCATGATCCTAGTATGTTCACCGTGAAAGCTTTCATGATCTTGCACATTTTGTAACTTGAGAATTCACTTCTTCACCCAGGTATTCCAAACGGATAATTCTGATACCCAAATAATTATATTTTTCCATTCATTTGTACAAACAGCTGGAGAGTGAGCACTGCATTAGATTTAAAAATGATTATTTTTATTTATGCTAAGATGCACCAAAGTTCATTAAAAATGAAATGACAAATAAACACATAAACGATCCAGTTGCCACATGACAGCATATCACCTGTTGAGCAAAAGATGAGAATTAGAATATTTCCACATATATTAAAATGAAATAAATTAATAAAATAATTTTGATAAAGGTTAAAAAAATAATAATTAAATAAAAGTATATAGCATCCCCATCAGTAAAGACTTATAACTAGCACCACTCTTTACTCCGCTCATGCAATGGTTCTCTCCCGACGTAGAAACAAATTTCTCTTCTAAAACTCTGGTTAGTCATTTCAAATTACTGGCACTCTGCTTTACCCCCTTACTGTACCAAATCCAATGTGGGTGAAAATATATTGACTGCGTTCTAGCAGATGGTAATGATGGTTGAAGAAAGCTGTGGGCACATTTCAGGGATGTTACATAGTCTGCCATACAAACAGGAAGTGCCCTATAAGCATAAATATTTGACGTATCCAAATAACTGTATTTGCTGTAGGCATTATGCTCACATAAAGAATTAATTATTTTTTTTAGATTTCTTTATTTTTCAAAATTTAGCATTTTACAGAATATACATCAATCCGTGCAGTTATATTTGGAACAATTATTATATATAAACCAAGACAATAAGTGCTAATAGTTCTAACGAACACAAACAAGGTCCATAAAGACATTATTATAATATCATGATGGCATTTTTGGGAAGCTGATTTCTGAAAAATTAGGCTCTTTAATTATCCAAATAATCTGTGTTTTTAGTCATCTCATATATATCTGTGTTGTCACATCTACTGTTACTGACAAAAACAATATTTCTGTTTCTGCATTAAAATGTAAAAATCTGTACTATTGTGGATACTGTATAATCTCTAAAATGTTTACCCCCTGTTTTTATAAAGACTGAACAAATAAAAAAATATATTTATATCTGTGAAAATTTAGATTATTTTACTTTTTTCTCTCTTTTTGAACAGTTATCTATACACACCGTGGCTGTTAATCTGCTTACTACCAGCTTTAAAATAAACGTTAAACTATCTGTTAAATAAAAAATAATGAAGTACTGGAGGAATTAAAGGGACACTCCAAAAATCATAACTCCTACAGCGTACTCTAGTGGTTATGGTGCCTAGAGTGCTCTAGTCAACACCCTCTCCCCCCCCCCCAAACCATTAAGTACAGTTAGACTTCTCACCTGCGGTCTGTCAGATCTCCACTTCCACTACTTCAGACAGGAAACCAGAAGCTCTTTGGCTGGGATAAACCCAGTGGTGCATGGCTTAGCGCTAATTGGCATTAGCTGATGCTTTCAGCCAATAAGCCAAAGCTTAGCTAAGTTGAGCTAATAAAAGTTACTAAATAAAAGTTACTAAGCAGGAGCTTCTCGGTCTCTCTGTTGGAAGTAGCGAAGGCTGGGATTGCCATTTGACAGATCCCTGGTGAGAAGTCAAACTGTTCTAAAATGGGTTGACTACTACTCACATTGAGGGTTGCCCTCCTGGCACCATAGGTGCACTGTGGTGGTTATGGTGCTTTGAGTTTTCCTTTAAATTAAGGTTATAGGGTGCAGCCACTTTCTATTTTAACCAATTATGGGAGAAAATTTGAATTTACATTAAATTTTAAGTTTTATACAAAAAAAAAAAAATAATAATAATTATTATTATTATGCCAGCATTTTGATAAGGAGGTGGAGAAATCTACAGATTTATTTACTGTAGCAATTTTTGGAGTGAGGAGTACAGTGCAGCTTGGGGTTTAATAATTCAACTACTTTGCTTTACACCCTTAAAAGAACAGTCCAAGTAACATAACCACTACAGCTGTAGTCAAACTGTTGAAGGAACTTCTCTTAACTCCATTGAGGTAAGCTCTGTCGTGTAGGCCTGTTTCTTTGGATGAGAGTGTCAGCTCACCCAGTGCAGGCCATCATGGCAGTAGTTAACTCAGTGCAGGAGTTTCCGGCTGCAAAGAAAGTGGCGGCGGAAGGTACCCAGCAGAACCCAGGTAAGTTGTCAAACTGTTCTTAACTAAATTGACTACTTTTTTCTTTGGTTTTTACTGTATGTATTGGAGCTGATGTGTACCATGGTCGTTGCTGCCGCCCAAGAGTAGTGGGAGTTTGAGTGCAGGACTTCTTTTTTTGTATAAATTGACTACTTACCCTGGAATGGCGTCATGGCACTTACTGCACCATAACCACTACAATGTGCTATAACTGGCTGTAGTGGTTATAGTGTTTGGCGTGTCTCTTTAATTTACCTAGAGCTGCACAATATGCTAATTTGCCCTCATAACCATAATTATAATAATAGTCTAACGATTATTATACCTTTCAGGTTTTACATTATTTACCAAATATATTGAACATAGCTCCTCTTATGAATGCATTGCTTGAGAGGGTGAAACTAATGACAAATGCAGGAATCCTGGGATATTGGGGTGCATGTTCTACTTACTCTCTGAGACAGGGGAGGAGGTGAATACTATGGTAGAGCTTGGGGATGTGGTGGATTCTTTGTCTTTGCTGGTTGCTCTGACGCCATCTAGTGCCTGATCAAGGCTCTGCAGTTGTGTGGTATCAAGTTTGGCACGTTGTGAATCCGTAACCATGATACTATTCTCTGGTCCAAGGCTAGCAATTTGTTCTGGCGACATCACCTTCAGGAATTAATTAGGTTAGCGAAGATTGTCAGCAATTTTATAAATCAGAAATAATTAGCTGAATACTATACCCACACACACACACACACACATACATTATGTACACCCTTTATCCACACATTCACACACATACAAAACAATTAGAACCTAGTCACACACACACAAAACACACACACAATACAAACAGACCTCCACATACCTCACATACATTATGCACAGTCTCTATCCACACATTTACATACACACAGAACAAACAGGACCTAGTCTCATACACACACACACACACACACACACACACACACACACACTACTCTATGATCAGCTCCTTCCACATGTACATACTTATGACAAACTGTCCCTGTACACACTCTCACACTACACCATAAACATCCCACTCCAGACCAATACAGACTGTTCCTCCTAAACAGGGTCACCTGGGAGGTATGAGGAACAAAACACTAGGTTGTCTATAAATAGTGCAGCAGTGCTCTAATAAAAGAAATGGCGTATAACCCATGCAATAGCATTTCAGTAGGGCTCAGTGCAAGGACTGTTCTAGAGGGGCACCAAACTCTAAGGCCCACTTTGAGGAAAGCATGTCTAATCCCTTTGAAGTGTGCAGTTTTGTTTCTGTAGTAGAGAAACACACATTCTGTCTTCTTTATTTCTAGAGCTTCAGTTACTCTCAGAAGGAGTGAGCTTTAAATGTTCCCTTGAAGGACCACAGTCATTAAACATAAATAAAGCACGATTTCCAAACCATTACCTTAAACGTGTCGTCGAGTATATATTTAATCACAGCAGGTTGAATGTAAGGCATTAGCTCTGGTTGAAGCAATTTGAATTCTTCTTTGTTTAAACCAGCTAAAAAAGAGAATTATATGAAAAGGATACTTTAGTCAATGTCAGCGTCATCAGGATATTTGTCTACAAAGAAGAATTTAAAGACGATAAGAAGCAATTGGCAATGTAAAGCACCCATAATGAAAACCTATTTTTCTACTTAATTGTTTTTCTCAATAGCCTATGTGAATGCACAAACCAAGCCTCCTTAAATGAGTTTATTGTGCTAGTGTTTAGGAAAGTATTATAGTACACAACCTACATGGTGACATGGTATGTGGGCACCCCTGAGCCAGACAATTGGCACAGAATTATCTGTACAGCAAAGCTCAGTGACTTTTAACATAACAAAGGCATTGGATGCACCACATTTGTGTCCTACTAGATCAGTCCGCAATCTGATGTTCGTGTGCCATTTTGAATTGAATATTTATAAGAACTACCACAACTCAAAGAAAATTAATAAACTATATAAAACCATAATAAACCAAGTTTAAAGAATGTATCTCCGAGTACTGATGCACTCAATGAATAAAACATATCAATCCTCAGTTGCGATATTCACTAACAAGGTCCAAACTACTTCTAGGGTCATATTGTCAACTCATGAACTGTCTATGCCGCAACACACGATAAGCTCTCAATAACATACAAGCAAATAAAAAAACGGTTAAAAAGCCAACATTGAACTCTGGTACAGTGGGTATATGGGTTCTTTTATGGTGATGTACAACAGTTCATTATAAGGCAGCTCAATAAACTAGTCTAGCTGACTGCGTAGTGCAAACTGTTGAAGAAGGTAGAATACTGGTCTGTAGCTGTTTTGCATGGTTCACTAAAGGCCCCTTCGTTCCACTAAACGGGGGTCTTAACACTACAATATATAATGATCTCTTAATTCTGTACTTCCACATTTTCAGAAATTAGATCCATCTTTTTGTTAAGAAAGATCAACATTTCAGGGTGGGTAACATCCCCATTTCTCTGTACATATAAATACAGGTTATATGCATATCTGGGTTAGTGGTTCAAATGTCTCATAGGCATGGAAGAACCCTGCCTTGTATTAGAGGAGCTTGTATTAATTACATCTAGGAGTATCTGGGATGGCAATCCAACTCTGGGAAATCCGCCATTTATTTGCCTTACCTGCAATGTACCCAATATCTTGTAAAATATAGGAGGTCCACGTCTCGGGTTTTCCATAAACCATCTCTGCTTTCTTTTTAAACTCCTGCAGAATGTTTGGACTGCAAGGCAGGGATCCGATCCTTGAGATAACAGCTCTAATAAAAAACAGATCAAAGAATGTCACACTAATTAGCATTGCAGTATACAATGTATCTGTTTATTTACACCAAAGTCTTGACAGCAATTGGACATGCCTGGAACTAAGGCAATGATAGCTGAACTTAGATATTTTTTAAATGCTTGTAACTCATTAAGGTAAAAGTAACTCAGAAAAATAAGCACATTAAAAGCACCTTTGGAGTTAGATAAATATTGCTATAGTTTACTTTAACATGTTATTCTTACTAAGTAGCCATAATATCATCATTTTAGCCAACATATACTCCTAAAAACATCTGATTCATACTAATTACTATTGATGTTTTAAATCAAACATTGCAAAGTTACAGAGATGATGTAACATATTACCTAGTAACTATGTCCTAGTTCAGGGGTAGGCAACATTTTGAACTCTTTGTCATGTTCCACAAACCACTCCTGAACACTTTTTGCAGTGTGGCAGGATGCATTATCCTTCTGAAAGAGGCAACTGCCATCAGGAAATACCATTGTCACGAAGGGGTATAAATCATCTGCAACAATCTCTAGGTTGGTGGTACTTGTCAAAGTAACATCCATATGAATGCCAAGACCAAAGGTTTCCCAGCAGATCATTGCCACTAACATTACATTGCCTCTGCCTTCTGCCTATAATGCATCCTGCTATCATCTCTACCCCATGTAAAAGACACGCACACACCTCGCCATCCATCTGATGTAAAAATAAACATGATTCATCAGACCAGGCAACCTTCTTTCATTGCTACATGGTCAAGTTCTGATGCTCGTGTCCCCATTGAAGGTGCTTTCGGTGGTGGACATGGGTCACCATGGGCACTCTGACCGGTCTGCGGCTACACAGGCCCATACATAGCAACCTGCAATGAACTATGTGTACTGACCCCTTTCTATCATGGCCAGCATTAGATTTTTCACCAATTGAAATACACTATCTATTCTGTGCCATCAGACTAGACTGGCTAGTTATCGCTCCCCAAGTGCATCAATGAGTCTTGGGGGCCCATGATTTTGAAGCTGGTTCACCAGTTGTCCTTCTTTGCACCACTTTTGGTAGGTGCTAACCATTGCATGGTGGGAACACCACTAAAGACTTGACATTTTAGAAATGCCCAGCGATCTAGCCATCTCTTTTTGGCCCTTCTCAAAGTCACTCAGATCGTTTCACTTGCTCACTTTTCCTGCTTCCAACATATGAAATTCAAGAACTGACCGTTTACTTGCTGCCCAATATATCCCACCCATTGACATGTGCCATTGTAACAATATAATCAATGTTATTCACTTTACCTGTCTGTGGTTTTAATGTTGTAGCTGATCAGTGTAGAGTTGCCTGGATTCAAGCAAAGATGATAATTTATTTCTTCTTCATATTTAGATCCATGTCACTAAAATATCAATATGACTTCCAGATCTGAAATATTCCTGTTGTTCAGGACAAATAGCCCTTACAGGAACACCAGTGCGCTGTAGTGTTTATGGTGCCAAGAGTGCAGTGGCACTCGCCATTGTAAGGAGTGAAATGGTTTTAGAATGGTTTGATTAGTTACCTGGGGCCCACTGCATGACACTCCCTGTTTGCATTGCTTTCTATGGAGAAGTAGAAAGCACCCTTGAGCTTAGGACTACAATGCTGGGCTAGCTCTTTGGCGGAGAGCATCAGTTGAATGAAGTGGGACCAGCACACAACAGACCCTGGGTAAAAAGTCAAACCATTCCAAAATGGTTTACTTCCGTACTATGGGGGATGAGAGGATGGTGCACAAAAATAATGTAAAAGCTTTCCTTGTTGCACAGTATGTTTCATTTAGAATCTCTTATTTCCTGCTCGGTTAACAGCCTCTAGTGTGCAATTAGCGTTCATTTAACAAAGCAGAAGATAAAAAGTTCTAAAGTAAACACGCTGTACTGTAAGATCTGATATAAAATTAAAAAAAAATTTTCATGTTGACTGTCAGTCACAGACAGTATAGGTATGACAAGGGATGAATAACAATTTAACTCCAAAAGAGCAGAGAGACTGCATTATCTAAGCACCATAACTGCTTAGAGTTTTCCATTAATATAGACATCTTATGAGTTGAGAAAATAGGGTGAGGTTTAGTTTGTCCCCGGAATAATAACATTTCAGCTGCCAAAGTTACGTACCGAAATTCAGATGTTTGGATCTGATTTATTTCGTCTTCTTTAGCTGCACACAAAATGCCTCCCAGTCCTGCTAGGTCAAAGCTCTTTAAATCCTTCAAGGATTTATTAGAATTGTTCAGAAACCCTTGTAGAATGGACCTTTTCTGTAGAAGCATAAATTCGTAATCATTTTATATTCAGACAAGGGTATGTATGGTGTGCTTGTAATATTTGAAGCATGTAAGAAATAGCAAATTTGACTTGTCAAAAAAAATCTCCAGAAATTATATATTCAAATGTGTCTTTATGTCTTGGGGTAAAGGTTTTAATATTGAATAGTTCCTTTATATCCCAACATGCTTACCTGGGCAAATGTCCATTCTTCCTGCTTGCCCAGTGCAGAGACTGCATCTATGGACCTTAAATCCAGCTGGTCTATTTCTTGTTCACTGAGAGCGGTCGCAATACGTCCTAGAGAGGTGACATGGTAACTTCTCCAGTCTGACATGTTACCCCACACCTTTTAAAGAATGCTAGAATTACACCACCAGAATTGTAATCTCCATAATATACAATGGGCAATTATATTGATGCCAACATACAGAACAGTGGTTGCCAAACCAGTCCTCATAACCCACCAACAGTCCAGGTTTTGTCAGTATCTCTATTGGAATAAAAAAAAAGGGAAATACATAGATCCAGGATTGATAGTGGATCATGAGGACTGGTTTGGAAACCACTTATATAAAACATAGAACATATTTAGGGTCACTGAACATGCCGCCCATCCCACTATTTGTTTTGTTTCTTTTTCCCCCTTATCCTTTTATTTTTCCCCCCCAAACTTCACTATAGCCTTATCTCTGGTCATCACTTCTGTTGTAGCACACATGGCTATTAAAGGGACACTCCAGGCGCCAAGACCACTTCTGCCCATTGGAGTGGTCTGGGTACCAACTCCCACTAGCCTTAACCCTGCAACTGTAATTATTGCAGTTTTTATAAACTGCAATAATTACCTTGCAGGGTTAAGTCCTCCTCTAGTGGCTGTCTCTACAAGACAACCACTAGAGGGACTTCCGTGTTCTTAGAACACGAAAAGTGTTTTAAGTGACGCTGGACGTCCTCACGCTATGTGAGGAACTCCAGCGTTGCCGAAATCCCCATAGGAAAGCATTAAACCCCATCAGCAACTTGAGGTGCCAGGAAAACTAATATGTTTTGGCACTGGAGAGTCCCTTTAAGGATAACAAAATATTATAAAATTCTATATTGAATTATCCTTTTAATCAGTTCTGTATTTGACTATGTCTGTTGTATTTAGTGGACTGTTTTTCTAAAACACTGAACATTTTATTTTAAAAAAAGAAATGGGGCAACAGTCCAGATACAGGCATCATGAGCTCCTGAGCTTTTCTTTGATATAAGCATATAAAACTGGATTTTTTTTGTGCATAGAGGAAAAGGATTGGGATGGTGATGCTGATGGGAGAAGAGACAGAGTTTGGAGTACAGCAATGGAGAGGCTACAAGACACTTCAAGCTGTTATAAAATACATTAAGCCAAGAAAGCAAGCCTGTTGTGATGATTTGTTATTGGATACTTACCTCCCAAGATTAGGAGGTACGTGATCAGAACATGGGCGGGTGTCACTGATGATGACCACAATTTGTGAGCCTGTCTAGAAAGGGGGCACTGAATAGGGGTGTCAGCCTGGTATCACATACACCCTAAAAGCCCACAAGCTGAGATGTCATATGTAAGTACAAAGGGTCTAGGGGACTAGGCCACTACGCAAATTGTCCTCCCTTTCCCACCACCATTCCAATCCTGTAGTCAGGCCCGGACTGGCCATCGGGCACACCGGGCAAATGCCCGGTGGGCCGCGGTGGCCATGGGCCGAGGCCGGCAGGGGAGGTCCCAGGACATCCCCTGCCGGTCTATGCAGGGCCGGCACTATCCGAGCGCCGGCCCCGCTGTTTGCCATGGAGGGCCGGTGGGGAGATCAAAGCTCTCCCTCACCGGCCCATTTAAATAGACCTGCGGCTGGGGAGAGAGGGAGAGGACCCGGCGGAGCTCTATTTTGCAGCTCCGCCGGGTTCCTCTCGCGAGATCGGGAGCGTTGCCATGGCAACGCCCCGATCTCGCGAGAGTCACCATTGGACCACCTGGGATCGTGTGTGAGTGCTGGTCCCCCCACTCACCAGCGTGCCGGACCCCTCCTCCTCCCAGGCTACAGGTAAGGGGAGGGGGGGGGGGGATAATGCATGATTAGTGTTTTTGTTTATTTACCCCCCTTATTTTTTTTTATTTGTATATTTATTCCCACTTAGGTTTTTATTTGTTTATTTACCCCCTAACACACAACATTTATACACAGCACTCTCACACTCAGCACACTCAGCACTCACACACATCATACACAGCACTATTACACTCAGCACTCACACACATCATACACAGCACTCACACACATCATACACATCACTATTACACTCAGCACTCACACACATCATACACAGCACTCACACACATCACACTCAGCACTATTACACTCAGCACTCACACACATTATACACAGCACTCACACACATCATACACAGCACTATTACACTCAGCACTCTCACACTCAGCACACTCAGCACTCACACACATCATACACAGCACTATTACACTCAGCACTCACACACATCAACACAGCACTCACCAGCACTCACACACATCATACACAGCACTATTACACTCAGCACTCACACACACATCATACACAGCACTCACACACATCATACACAGCACTATTACGCTCAGCACTCACACACATCATACACAGCACTATTACACTCAGCACTCACACACATCATACACAGCACTATTACGCTCAGCACTCACACACATCATACACAGCACTCACACACATCATACACAGCACTCACACACACATACTGCACCCCTCACATACACACACAACCCCCCGATACACTGCATCACACACATACACAATACTTCCAAACATATTTATATAATATATATATATATATATATATATATATATACACAGCACCCCTCACACACACAGCACCCCTAAACATATTTCATTCCAGACACACACTAGATCCTCTACCCAACTCTGAATCATCTACACACACCAGATCCCTATATACACTCTGAATCCGTTATATACGCACGCTCACTAGATCTCCTATACGTAGTCTGGGTCCTACACACACACACACACACACACACTGGATCCCCTATACGCACACTAGATTCCTTTTAAGCAAACCCATACATTCCCTGAACACGAACACACACACACACACACACTATAGCCTGTATATATATACACACACACACACTATAGCCTGTATACACACACTTGCTACATCCCCTATAGACACATTCTCTACAGCCCCTAGCCACATATGCATTACATTACACCACAAACAAAACACGACTAAAACCGACCTTATTACACAATACCACACCACGACCAGCTCACTCTGCACACACGCAATACCACAAGCAGGCTCCAAACACATGCACAATACTCTTTCCTGGCCCCTTTGTCTCCTGGTATCCATTTATAGAGACACCAGAGACAAGTTGCAAGGAAACACAGTGCAAGCATGTTATTAAATTTGCTTGCACTGCACAGAACAAATACAGGGCTTTTTTCTCATGCTAGAGGTCTTCAGCAGAGCTCTGTGCATGGTCTGCCCTGGAAGAGCATTGAACCAACATGCTCACTTTGAGAGGGCGCGTGTTTGTCATGAGTGATGACAAAACACACCCTCTCTGCCCCGCCCCATTCTTAATGGGCCGCTGTGATAAAAAAATGCCCGGCCGAATTTTTTCCCCAGTCCGGCCCTGCCTGTAGTCTTCAGTTGTTGAGTTAGTTTTTCGGGGGAGAGGGAGGAAATTGTTCTTTTTTTCTATTTTATATACACAATAATACACAATAATTTTACTTCTTTGGCTTTATTCTTCAGGGCTGAGAGCTGAGAGTGGTTGAAGCCGCTTATAGAACCCAGGATATGCACATTTCTGTGAAAGGTTTCTCTGCCCATGCAGTATAATTCTTTAGAAGACCAATATGAATTGGCTTCTGCCAAGATTACAATATTCTCGTCAGTAGGCGAAGTGATTCCAGTACACTCTGCAAATGCAAGACAAATAGACACATTTACTGTTTGTTTCACGTTTTTCACTGCGCAAGGCTTCATTTATGAAGGATCATAATCAACTGCAAAAGTATACCTATTTTTAAAGAAAAAAATAATAATAAATGTGATTTTGATAAATGTAATTTGAGATTATTGGGGAAATTTATTGGCTCCTCTTATAGTGAAAAAAATCATTTTTTTTCACTATACGAATTCACAAGAGCACAGGGATAATAGTTTGATAAAAACATAGATCAATATATTAATTGTCTATAGTTTCTGTAAAAGTAATCAGCATATGTCAATCCTAATTTTTTTTTAAACTGTTTGACTATATAAAATTGTCCACAATTAATAGAATAATCTCTGTAAAACCAGCATATAGAGTTCACGTGCTCCCAATATTCAACAACAACAACAAAAAAACAAACTCTCACAAGGCGACTCTGAGTGCAAGAACTGAGCCGTATATCTGTTATGGAGAATAAAACGCATTACTTAAAATCTCCATTAAGGCATTATGTTGCTCTGTCTTGTATTTAAAGTGATAGAGTAGATCGCTAATTTCGATAGTAGAGTCAGATGTGTTATTATACATAGTGAAGACTGTGGTTTCTGTATTTACACTTTAAAGTAAGATGTTACCCACCAGAATTTTTTATATTATTTTTCTTCTCCCTTATATTTAATGAATATATTTGTAAAGTCTGATGAATAAAATTAAATGTAGAAATGTGCTAAATTTAATTGACCACTATTCTTTAACAAAGCTATCCGGGCTTTCTGTCAATCACTGCTATAAACACTGCCCTTTTAACCTGTCAGTCAACAAAGAACAAGCAGTGAGTGCCTTGGCAGTGCCTGGACTGAACTGGATTGTAATGTCAACTGCTGAATCTTTAATATACATTAAAAAAAATAAAAATCACATGCGAATAATGTTAACACATGTTATAAGTAGAGTTGAGCGGACACCTGGATGTTCGGGTTTGCCGGTTTCGGCCGAACTTCGGCAAAAAGTTTTGAGTTTGGGACTCGAAATTGACCCTGAACCCGAACCCCATTGAAGTCATTGGGGACCCGAAATTTTGGGCACTAAAATGGCTCTAAAAAAGTCCTGGAAAGGGTTAGAGGGCTGCAAAAGGAAGTAAAATGTATTGTCTAAGTACTAATATACTTACCCAGTGGAAGAAGAAGAATGTTACAGTGTATACAATTTTAAATAAAAAGTATGCAAACATAGCCAGGATTCAGCTGTAAGAATTTGCAACACTTACAACAATCAAGTAACACACATTCATATAAAATGTAAGTTACTTGGCCAGTCAAGATTACTTAGTATTAGTAAATTATGTCCCTACTCGCTATACCGCGAGTAGGGGCATGTCTATTAAACAGTGAGCAGTCTATGGCTGCTCACTGTTAAAAAAAAAAAAAGGTTCCCACCTCCAGAGCCCCCACCCCTGAACGACGGGTGGGGGCCCTAAAGTAAAATAAGGGGGGACCTATTTTCCTCCCCCCAGCCCCCACCCGGCCCCCACCCATGAGCGGTGGGTGGGGGCCCTAAATTCGAATAAGGGGGGGACCTATTGTCCTCCCCCCGGCCCCCACCCCCGAGTGGCGAGTGTGGCCCTAAAGTAAAATAATGGGGGGGGGGAACCTATTGTCCTCCCCCCGGCCCCACCCCTGAGCGGCGGGTTACTCACTGTTTAATAGACATGCCCCTACTTGCTTATATAGAGGCTGCGTCACATGCTGCACTGGCCAATCACAGCCATGCCATTAGTAGGCATGGCTGTGATGGCTTCTAAGGGCACACGAGTCAAACGCGTGTTGATTGGCTGCCCTGCAGCTTTTCAAAACGCGCCATTAAATCGCCGAACACCGAAATCGAACCCGAACTGTTACTAAAATGTCCGGGCTCGGGTTCGGGGTCAAAAAATCGTAATGTTCGGTACGAACCCGAACTTTACAGTTCAAGTTTGCTCAACTCTAGTTATAAGTGATTTTCAATATTTTATTAAATGGTGTCATTTCTAGAAAAGTGATGATTCTCCTTTAATTAGTGTCGACATACTTTGAAATATTTTTAGAGCACTATTAGACATGGTCCCCTGTCAAAGAGCCCAACTAAAAAGTAATAATATCTCATTTTTATAGGGACCTATGAAAGAGAATAAAGTAAGAATTGAGATCTGTTGGCTACATTTCTCCCCAGGTTACCAATACAATTCCTCTTCTTCAATCTAAATAGTTCAGGTCATTTTATATCTGAAAAGGCATTTGTGTTAGCCAAGACACACAAAGAGCCTTTTCAGTATCAGAGGGATCAGAAGAAAATGTCGCCACTGTGACGTTAGGGCGGCCACAGGTGGGAGAAAGAATCTTTACCTGTTGTCTGATTAGGTACTGAGGCGTTGGCATTAAATGCCTGTACTGCGTGAAATAGAGCTGATAGCATCCCCTCACTCAGAGAAATTCCTGCCGCCTCCGATACCATCTGCACAACTGTATTCAGGAACTTTCCAAAGACATTCAAGTGGGGAGATAAGAACAAAAATATATCAAGAATCAAAAGAGTGTTTGTTAAATATCATGCTCAGTGGTATTTAGGAGATGAACCTGGTAATGATGAGTCGCAGCATTTTGCACTTAGTTTTATCTGGGTTTTTATTTTTAACAGATTCCTTCTCTTTTTACTATCAACTGCATGAAAATTGATAATGCAACATGCGCTCACGTTCTCTGTATAAAGTTAAAATGACAATATAAGCGTGTTACTGTTAAGGTAGGAATGTAGTCTCAAACACGTGTGCATAAAAAGCCTCCCCTCGGTTTATTTCTAATATTTAACATAATAAGGACCAATGATAGCTTCTGTTATAACAAACTAGCCTTTGAAACTTTCTGTATCAGAATATAATGTTCTTCTCAATTAATGGTAATAGGACTGTATAGATCTGCAAATTCCAAATAAACAGGTCATTCCAAAGTCCATGGATCAGAGTGTAACAATTACATGAAATATCATAAGCCAGGATTCATCTATGATTCAGGGGAGATTTATCAAAGTGTTAGGATCTGACAAGTGGTGCAAAGTTATAAAAGTGAATCAAGAAGGCAGATTCCATGGTGCTTTCTCCACTTTTCATGATAAGAGTGTTTTAGAATATAACAGGTTGTGTCTGTCATGATTATTTTGGCAGCGCCTCTCTTACAGCGCCTGACTTCTATAGTGGTCATTAGAAGTTGGTGTTGGATCTCTTCAAAGTAGTTGTTGTTATTACAAAAATAACTATATCTTTAGGTTCATGGTGTTGAACAGGGCATGGCCTCTGTTGGTCTGGGATTATTTACATGGAGTCATATGGGAAGGGCCTAACAAGTCAAATTCAAAGGGTAGAGTCTACCAACTCACCACCAGTAAACCTCATCACTAACGGTTCGCCGCGGACTCCAGTCAGCAGACACATTCCAGCCAATCAGCAGCAGACCCTCCCTCCCAGGCCCTCCCACCTCATGGACAGCTCACTAAGAATGCAGCTTCAAAATGGATGCTGTCCAGGAGGTGAGAGGGTCTGGGAGGGAGGGTCTGCTGCTGATTGGCTGGAATGTGTCTGCTGACTGGAGTACGTGGCGAACCGTTCGTGGCGAACCGTTCGCGAACCGTTCGGCGAACCGTTAGGGACATCACTACTCACCACTAGCATTGCTTTTTAGTTCACAAAACTTTGATAAATCCCTCTGATTACCGTTAGATTTATGTTTTGTTATCTTTGCAATCACATGCACAAGCATATGTGCATATCCCAATATGCTTATGTCTAAAACCAAGAATATTGAGTGGACTTAAAGTCCACTAATTTTTAGGGTCAGGCAGGAGTTAAGCCATATTGGCTAATATTATAACAGAATATTCTTATTCACATGTTGTAAGTCTTTCCTGCATCTGTCCAATTTTGTTATTCTACCCACGTCTTGCTTATACTAGCCCCAACCCAAGAACTACTTTTAAAAATATTGTTTTAAAAACAGTCATGTAATAAAACAGACACAAAATGCGCTAATTGTGGAAAATAATGCAATTTCGGGGTTCTGGAGACATTCATATACTATTAAAGCCATCTATCTAAACTGCATATATTATCAGCACTTAAATTGCTTTTTAGTGGGTCCTCAGAGAAACTAATAACAAATACCTTTTTTAATATTCCATTGAATTCTTCTTCCGATAGCAGGTTCCAAAATGCTGTCATATCCTGAACAGTTTCTGATGTCCAGCTCAGTGGGTTTCTCAATAAAAATGATGAAAGCCAAGTTAATGAGGATGGATATATACTGGCATAGAACACAAACATTACATGCATAAATAATTTGATAGGATCTACCCATAATGCTCCAGGATTTTGTGCTTAATGTCTACATTTTGCTTTTGACTTAGGCTTGTACAAGACTTCATCCGGTGTATTGTTGCTTCAATCACACCTGTAGATAAGCCATCGCGAATGATACCTGGAGACAAATGACAGACGAGGTTCCCAAGCATGTCTAATTGGTAGACATCAGTTATAGAACCATTCTAGAAGACAGAGAGAACATGTGTTAAACTCTCTTTAGTATTCCTGCTGGCACAGGGTTACAAGATGTTATCAGTAAACTCAATCACACTTTATTGTATGCACCAGATATGCTTGAGATTTCTGCTTGAGAAAGATTGTTTTAAGTCAAAGGTCAGACTTATCTCTACATCTAAGGTTTCTTTTAGATGTCCGAAGAAAGTCAAGAATTTAAAGTGTACAATAGGTCTAGGAATGTCTCTCTAGAATAGGAAGCCCGTCACTTGGGCGATGTCCATCTGTATAGGCTACCTAGGTGAAGAATTTGCTCCTGTAGTTTTAGATATGTAATGGTTCCATTCTGTCCTTTAGATAATGAAACTATGTTTAGTTGACAGCATATGCTATAATACTCTCTTGTCCTTTATATTGTTCAAACGTATTTAAACAGTCTGAGAAGCAGGTGTGTTACTTTTTAGGTTCTCATACGTAGAGGTCAAATTGGCTGGACTAAGGATAAGCCAATATCTGCACCTGGGCCTAAGGATGGAGTTTTCTAGCTGCGGATGGGAATATTAGTGCGTATTAGACATATGTTTTTTCCATCATGGGACGATGTAAGATGTAATTATAGTGTTACATATGACTTGATATTAAAGGTACACTATAGTCACCAAAATTACTTTAAACAGCTTAATGAAGCAGTTTTGGTGTATAGATCATGGCCCTGCAGTCTGACTGCTCAATCCCTGTCATTTAGGAGTTAAATCACTTTGTTTATGCAGCCATAGTCACAGCTCCCTGTATGTGACTTCCTAAACACTTCCTGTATAAAGAATCATCTAATGTTTACAGTTTGTTTATTCAATTTAGAATTTCTTATCTACAGCTCTGTTAATAGCTTGCTAGACCCTGCAGGAGCCTCCTGCATGTTAGTTACATCCGATTGAAAATTAAACCATTTAGTTTTAATGCAGGCTGCGTGAGTCACAGGGGAGGCGTGACTAGGGCTGCATAAACAGGAACAAAAGTAGTTTAACTCCTAGATGGCAGCGAATTAAGCAGTGAAACGTCAGAGGCATGATCTATACACCAAAACTACTTAATTAAGCTAAAGTTGTTTTAGTGACTATAGTGTCCCTTTAAGAGGGCAGTGGATGTAATTGAGGCAAATCCCTGGTATCACCAGGGCTGGATAAGAAGCCTTTATAGTTCAGAAACCCATGGCACAATTGTTATATTACAGGCATACCCTAAAAAATAGCGTCCCATGAAAAAAACAAAAATAAATAGGTAGAGCGGCTCATTCTGCTCACAAAACAGAACCACACATGCAACAACATGACAAATAACCAAGATTGATACAACTCAATATTACAGCAAAGCATATTATTAGCTCAGAACAGGGATTGTTAAAGAAGAAGTACAATAAACTCTTACCAAGCACTGGTTGATTTTGTTAATTATAATTTCTTTCTTGTGTTTATTTAACAGCAGAGAGTCCAGATCAATTTTTCCCAGGCTAATTAACAATGATCCGCATGCAGGAGGATAGGACACAAAATATTCTGAACTGAAAGTTAAAGGGTATGGAAACACTAACTTATTAACATATATTTACATAGACATTTTAAGCCAATGAAAACAATGCTGTGTACCGAAATATTTGTATCGCAACATAAAATCTTAATATAAATTGCAGCAATTTACCTTCTGATGACCAGAAGGTTCGCAGAGCAGTATATTCCCACCCAACATGTAGCCAAAGAGTTAAAAGAACGGAAATATAACATAATGCAGTAGGTTCCGTCATCAAAATTTCAGAATATTGTTGGCATGTAAGTGCATAGCTTAAAGGCCATATTACCATATATTCATTTTAACATTATGATTGGCAAGGAGGAAACTGAGCTCCTATTTCATGCTCGGATATATCACTTATATGCGTTAGCCCCGAGGGGGAATTGTACGACCCTGGTTCTTCTTTTGCATTATTGCAGAGATGATCAAAGTAACTGTGTTTTGCTTGCCTGTAGTCAAATGGTAGATTCTACCATTTGCATAAACTCTAATGGAATAGAAAAGTGATTTGTAAAAAATATTAGTAAAAGGCTTTGAAGATCCAGACTTACGGTAGGACAGCTAGCAGAAAAGGAGGAATGGTTGCCTGGGAAATTTTCCAATATCTCCAAGCCAGACAGTGTATCTAAGATGATAAATATAGTTTTGTTAGTGTAGGACAAAAACAGACAAACATTAATAAATATTATTAACACAGACTGTTCTTTTGTATCTTGTCTTGCAGTATTCTGGGAATGAAGTAGACAATGTGTGCAGGGTCAATCTAATGGGCCAAACGTCCTGTTCCCTAAGTGTGCTAGACCTTCAATTCTAAATGTAAATGTTTATTTTAAAGAACCGCTAGAGTCACCAAGACCTATTCATCTCAATGAAGTAGTCTGGAGGCAGTGATCATTGCAGTTTTGTAGAAACTAAAATGTTTGTATTGCAGAGTTAAATACACCTGTAGTGGTTGTCTTCCAGACAGCCACAAGAGGCAATTCTTCCTATTCCAAAACAGAGTGGAACTCGGTCCTGATTCGATTGGAGAAGCAAAGCATTTTGCGGGGAAGCATATCTCCAATCCATTGTTTCTTCATGAGAAGCATTGAATTGGAGAAGATCTCAGAAGACATCAGCAGATATTTTGACATCTTCAACAGTGGAGCAGGGGAGAAGGTGGATCCAATAGAGGTGTCCCAAAGCTGGAAACGAGGTGAGTAATCTTCATATTTTTTTTAATAGCAAAGGGGTGTGAACCTAAAGTCCAGAGAAAACAAATGTTATTTTTGTGGCTTTCCCTTTAATAATGCTGTGCATAGATAAACTATTTTAGAAAACTAACTTTATTAATGCTTATCTATCTTTGCATTTGTGCCAGTGCAACATTTGGTGTAACAGCTGTGAGTGGCCAGATAATTGTTCATTTTAATTCTTAAGTGTACTTTGGCTTGTATATGAAATAACAGACAAACCATTGCTAAGGGAATCTTTGGTAATGTGAAGGAAGTCTAATTATTGTTATTTATAAGGCGCCAACAAATTCCGCAATGCTGTACAGTGGGATGAGTGGCAAATGTTTCTCTGTTCCTTTCTATACATTGCAAAGTATGATGGGATGTTTAAGGAAATACAATACTTTAGGGATGTTTTATTCCTCACTTGCCTCATGAATTATTACTCATGATATTCAGATGTTAGAATTTACTTAGATTAGTGTGAGGTGTAAAGGAACACTTTATCTTAATAAAGTGGTCATGGTGTCATGTGCCACCCGTCTTAACGGAGGTAGTTGAAAGCATTGCCTTTCTGCATGAAACGGCAATGCATGTATTGCAGGGTTAACCTGCATGTAGGGGCGCGTCTGGGAAATAGCTGAGTAAAACTCTGATTGGCGCAGAGTGGCGTGTTGCCACACATTCACACTAGCCTTCCCATGATATCCTATGTGAAAGCATTGGATTGGCTGAGATCATCAATCTTGATGATCTCATCTAAAGAGGCAGGGCCATGGAGACCGATGGAGACCGATGCTGTGAGGGAGAAAAGGTAAGTGAACTACCTTCTTTAACCCTAACAGTACTGACAGTGACATATTTGTATTCCTAACACTATAGTGTTCCTACTGGCATCAGAAGGGTTTAACTTTGTATTTACTAAGTTTCAAAGTGAAACAATGCACATACAGACTCCAGGCACCATGACCACTTTAAATCACGGAAGTGCTCACAGCAATAATTTTATCTACAATCCCTCAGTAAACATTATATATTGTGTCGATATTTGGTTCTCTGTGTATAATTCTATTTAAGTTTCTGGGATTTCATTTCACTTTGTTGGGACGTTGCCACATTTATGTTTGATCTAACTGTGGCTGGGTGATCCTTGACAATGGCACAGTTTACAATGGGAAGCTGCTGATATCCTGAAGCCAAACTAATATCCTGGGAGAAATTTGAGATAATGTTTTTCTCTAAGAGCAATGAACCAATGGAAAAATGGAAGGTATTTGGTAATAGAACTCCGAATACCATTTGAGTCACATCACCAGTATCTGTTCAGAAATTGCCCTGAACTGTTCTCTAAATATAATTGTTCATAAATTTCAGGTTTGTTTTATTTCCAGCTGTCACACCAAAATTAGAATTAGAGCCAGCTCTGTGTTTAAAGGGTATATCTTCAATTTGCCAGATCTCCTGATTTCAAATCTTTTTTTTTTTTTTAAACAATTGTTTATTTTGCCAATGGTTGAAATCTCTCAAATTAGTGCACAGGGAGCAACACCAACGAGACAAAACATTAAAAGTATGAAATACATCGTGTGGAATCAAAAGAAACTTAGACACAAAATTTAAACAGTTTGTGAAGGTAAATTCGGTTGAATCTGCTTCCAGAATACTGGGATTGGTATCCCTTTATGTTAATGGACTCTTGTCAAGGTCTGTTATTATATACTCCCCAGAATAATCCAAAACTTTAACAATTGATAAAAATAAGAGATTTACCTGAAATGGCGAAAGTAAATGAAGATTCTTTTCGAAGAGCTTGTAATGGTTAAGAAAGCTGGGTTTGCTCATTCTATCGATCTGTTCACATGTAACGCCTTTCACCAGATACCCTGTACTGGAAAAGAACACGTTCTCTAAAAGGGGTCGGAAAACATCAGATGTATATAGTAAACTAGATTTTAAACACTCAATGTTTAGGTGATGTTCCCCCTAACAACATAAAGTGCGAATGCAGCCCTAAAATCAATAGGGACTCACTCCTTACATATGTAATATTCAAATAGTTGAACCTAAAATGGAAAAAATAGAAGAGATATATATATATATATAAAAAAACAGAGGTGAGTGAAAATTAATTTACTCTTTTCTGGGTATAGACTCTAAACACACAGGTATTTGTGCCTTACGGTGGCATACACGACCTCTCTTCAGTGTATCAGACACTCCCAATGGAATATGTCAAGAAATAAACACAAAACAGGAAAAATGTCTTGGTGCAGTTTTTTATATATAAGTGGATAAAGGTGGTATACCAAAATCAGAACTGCTATAAAATGTGTTAAAAAGTTAAAAAAGGTTGAATGAGAACACTAGACGTGCAGTAGACCTGATCTGGTGGGCCGGTAAAACTAGGACGCCTTCTCTCGTCCTATCGCTGGACGCGGAGAAGGCCTTCGACAGGATCCAATGGTATTACTTGTTCGCCCTATTGCGTCACATAGGCCTACCAGAAAACTACATCACAGCGGTCAAAGCACTGTACATGAATCCACAGGCCCAAATAGCCATACCAGGAGCGATCCCAAAACCATTTCAACTAAGTAACGGCACGAGGCAGGGCTGCCCTCTCTCGCCGCTCCTCTTCATACTAGCCCTAGAACCCCTCCTCTACCGGATTAGGGAACACCCAAACATAAAGGGACTGACAATAGCAACAGAGCAGTACAAAGTATCTGCGTACGCAGATGACATCCTGCTCACTCTCACGGACCTGGAGAACTCCCTCCCGAGTCTAGTCCGGCTACTGGAGGAGTTCGCCCAGGTGGCAGGCTATAAAATAAACATGGACAAATCAGAAGCCATGCCGCTGGGGTTGACGGCGGAAGACACGGCGCTAATAGGGAGGATGACGTATATAAAGCTGAACCACCAACATATAAAATACTTGGGGGTCAAACTAACAAAAGAGGTCTCACGACTGTATACGGAAAACTACACACCAATGATCAAAACAATAACAAAAGACTTAGAAAAATGGCATGAGAAGCCGATCTCATGGATAGGCCGTCTTCACGCAATTAAAATGAATGTATTACCGAGCATGCTGTTCCTCTTCCAGGCACTGCCCACAATAGTCACGAAAGGGGACCTACAATCCCTACAAACCAACATAAACCAATTTATATGGGCACACAAAAGACATAGGATAGCCCGACACATACTCTACCGACCAAAGGGACTAGGGGGACTGGGACTTCCTAATCTTCACCTGTATTACCTGTCAGCACAGCTAGCCCAAATAATAGAGTGGCACTCACCCCCAGATAGACGCAGATGGGCAGACCTGGAATCCTTAGTGATGAGAAGAGACCTTCCCCAGTATTGGATCTGGGTACCAAAAGCAGACAGACCACCCTTACTCACAGACTGCCCATCTATACTCAACTCCATTAAAATATGGGACGCCAACGCTCAAAAATATGCTCTAACGAGAATGCCCTCACCTCTCACCCTATATTTGAGAAACAGGGCATTCACACCAGGCATGCGGGCGAGGGACTTCAAAGGTCTGGAATACGCAGGCCTGCAGAGATACTATCACCTATACGACGGAGACACATTCAAAACCTTTGACGAACTAAAACAGACAGCGCCATTACAGACTAGAGACTTTTTCAGATATATACAACTAAGGGACTTCGCTAACCATCCTAGAGTTAGAGAAGTAGCTAAGGCTCCAATGACTAGCTTTGAAAGATTATGCATAACAGAAACCACACGCAAGGGGCTTTACGCACAACTTAGTGCCCCGGAGAGGAACGCAGAACCCCTCACCTATATCACCCAATGGGAGAAAGATCTACATCAAACACTGGAAGGGGAGGACTGGAGGGATATATGGGAAGCGACAGCCAAAGTCTCCATATGTGTAACACTTCAGGAACAGGCATATAAAACCCTCCTGAGGTGGTACGCCACCCCGGCCAAATTATATAGAATGGGGAAAACCAATACAGATACTTGCTGGAGAGGCTGCGGTGAGAGAGGATCATACATCCACATGTGGTGGACATGTCCCAAGGTAGTGAGATTCTGGTCGGAAATAGAGACATTAATGACAGCAGTCCTGGAGAGACCAATACACAGAGACCCATGGACATTTTTATTAGCCAAACCACAGGATGACCTGACGACAAAAGAACAGAAACTAGTTAACAAACTGACCCTAGCAGCCAGAAGAGCACTGACCCAACAATGGCTAAGCCCCGACATGCCCCCTATGAGCAAAGTCATCCACAAAATACAGGACAATTTCACCATGGACAAATTGACAGCGCAGGTACGGAACACCATGGGCACTTTTTCAAAGGTGTGGCAACTGTAGGAGGAATATAAAGAAAGAATGGCACGCACACCATGAGACGCTAAAGCCAACCAAAGCGGCACCCACCACCACACACATACGCAGCGGGCGCGCCCGGCGGGTCCCCCCCCTTTTTTTTTTATGGCCGCTGCCTCCCCGCCCTTCCCTGATACCCAAACTAATCCCGTCCTCCTCTCTTCCTGCCTTCTCTCCACAGAAGAGGGCAACTATACACGGAAAATTAATAAATAAATAGGATGAGGGGGGGCGGGATGGCGGCAGCTGCACGGTGGGGATCGTCTAACACACAAGCCCAAAGTATTATAACAAATATGTGACCAGGGGGGCTTGCAAGAGCAAATTACTAGGTATCTAACACGCTCTTCACAAAGAGGACTTACAGTCACGACAAAGGGTAAAGGCATTGTGGGAGGGAGACGCAGCGAGGGCCCAAAGTCCCAACAACGGACAGGGCAAAGTGTAAAGGATCAGATAATGAATAGTCATCACAAACACGGCCCACGCAAGAAAAGTAATGCTACACTCAGGTGCCCATAGTATGGGGGCGAGGGGGGATCGGGGGGCGGAGTGGGGAGGGAGAACAACAATAACTATGAGACAAATAGAATAACAGGTCATGACACTAAGTTTTAGAAGTTCGAGTTACCTTAAGAAAACACCAAATAGGGTGTTTCCAGGTTTTAAAGTTGATTGCGTTTACAAAAATGGAAAAACACTGATGGACTGCAGCTTCAGTCAACAACGAAGAAAGCAAGAGCTTCCGCACAACAAATGTATACCTAACCAAACGATTAGCTTTTTCCAGTATCACTGAAATGCCATTGTACCTCTTGCTGTTAGGCTTATACACAAGCCCCAATAATGCTTACAAGCTGTAATGTCTGTCAAAGCAAAAATAAAGAATTATAAAAAAAAAAAAAAAAGGGTTTTCACAGATGGCCTTTGGGAATCTGCTGACGGATGAATGACGTGTGAGACGTTGACGTCGTGAGGTGGGGATACGGGATGCCGAGTGGAGTGAGCTGCGGGAATTGACTAGCAGGCCCTGGCCTTCCATCCTTGATTCCACCTGATCTGGACCATTGGAATTCGCAATATTCCAGAAGCAATTCCAAATGATAAGCTACAAGGCTTCCTTTTGGAATTCTTTAAAAACCAAATCCCTGATGGAGAACCACATGATTATTTAATTGATCAATGTCGCCGATTGCCCAAGCCTCAAAATGTTCCTGATTCACCCTCACGAGATGTAATTGTGAAAATTAATTCCTATCAAACCAAGGAAAGAATCATGGCTGCGATGAGAAATAAGCCTATTCTTGGTTGATAGGTTCAAGAACTTAAGCATTTTTCAAGATCTCTCATATCTCACGAGAGTTTGGAGAAAAAGCTTTAACGCAAACTTGATTATTTTGAGACAAAAAAATATCAGCTATAGATGGGATTTCCACACTTCATTGAGAGTCAACTGAAATGGCAGAATGGAACATTTTGACTCTCCAGAAAAACTTGCTGTATGGATGCAAAATGTGATTGATATGGAAATCTTTTATTTTTCCCCTCTCTTCCTTTTTTCCCTTTCTCTCTCTCTCTCTCTCTAACACCTGTACAAATGTATATGACTCTGGGTTGAAGTGTTAAGATATACCAGGAAATGGTTTTAGATATCAAGTAAATAGTCACTTTGGAAAAGATAGCAATATTAGGAATTGGTTCACAAGAGAATTAATTGTAATTAAATATTTAGTAGATAGCTACTTAAAGGAATGTGGGTATGTCAAACAATTTTATAGATCACTCTATAACATCTTTAGGAATAGGATGATACACTTAAACAACACTATTGTGTTCAGTCTATTAGAATTTTGTGGTTTTCATAGTGACCGCAGTTAATAATCTCTTATACACTTAAACCTGTCTGGAGGACAGGCTATTTAGAATTTAGTACAATGGCGTTGAGGCAGAAATGCCAAGGAATTTAGGAACTAAATATAATTAAAATGTATATTGGCACCTTAAGGGGGGGTATAACAAATTTTGTTTTGTTAACACGAGCACAAATTTATATGATTAGTTGTTGTGAGAGTTAGGATTGAATAGTACACTGCTTTATATAGTAAGTAAAAGAGAAGCAGGGGAGGGGGAATGTAAATGTAGGGAGAGAACAAAATTAGTATTAAGTACTTAAGTGGCATAATTGGTCAGGCTATTACAGTTTTGGTACTGGTATATGAAGTGTACTGAGCCAATATGAATGTGAGATTTATTGAGAATTTAGTACAATGGATAATAGGCTGAAAAGCTCAGGAAAATAAGAACTAACCATAACTGTAACTGGATTGGGTCAACATACAAGGTATTTTGCCTGTACTATAACTATACTAACCTAATGAGGTAAACATTTTGTTACCACCTTTATCCACTTATATATCAAATACTGTACCAAGACGTTTTTCCTGTTTTGTGTTTATTTCCTGACATAATCCATTGGGAGTGTCTGATACACTGAAGAGAGGTTGTGTATGCCACCTTAAGGCACAAATACCTGTGTGTTTAGAGCCAATACCCAGAAAAGGCTCTAATATATGTGAGTTCATTTTCACTCACCTTTTTTGGTGGTTTATACAATATCACACTATATATCTCTTCTATTTTCTTCATTTTATGTTCAGCTATTTGAATATTACATTAAGGGGTAAGTCCCTATTGATTTAAGGGCTGCACTCGCACTTTATGTTGTTAGGTGGAACATCGCCAAAACATTGAGTGTTTAGTATCTAGTTTTCTGTAACGGTGGGTTTTGGAGTACTCAGAGAGTGTTTTTTCAGCGGCTATCTTAATAACATAAAATCACAATAAGCCCCTATATCACACTACAGTTTTCCAGTTTGTTTTAGAGATGTATATAGTACTCTAGCTAGTAAGCAGATGTATGTCGTGATAGCCCCAACATAACTAAATGGATTTTACATCATATAATTTCACGAGGCCAACACAGAGAGCGTTGTGGTGCAGCTCCATATCAGGAGGACACCTGCTAAGTATTCTTTCAATTTTATTGGTGGTAGCCATGGTTTAGCAGTCTCGTGTCATTGGTGCTGTAACGCAGCTACTGATTGAGCTAGTCAGACGGTTGGCACCAAAAATAGAAAACAGAAAAAAGATGGAGCTTGGGATGGGGAATTGTTGAAGGGATGTACAAGGGAAGGGGTAGATTGTATGAGGATTAAGTGAAAAAATAAGGAAGAGAGATCAAAATAATCAAAAAATCTAGTTAATTAGCATGGAATAAAATAAGAAGGGATTAAGGGAAGCTGGATAAGAAGAGCAGAATGATTATGGATGATAATAACTAATGTAGTAAGGTGAGGTAATATGAGTGAGGGAATGGCATTGCAGATAGATTGAATGAGGAAATAAATAAGTAATAAACAAGGCCGAGAATAGGTGTAAACAAGTGTAGATGTTATGAAATAAGAGAGATGCAATAGGAAGAAAAAAAGATGAAAGATATGGAGAGGAGTAGATAGAATGAGGGAGGAAGAAGATTGGTCAAGGAGTGGAGATGGGCCACCAGGAAGTAAAGCAGATTAAATGGAGAGTAGAGCAGAAAGATGGTTATTGGATGGAGAGATATCATGAGAAAGTGCGGATGAGTGAAGAAGGAGAGGGAAGCTGGAGGTGAATAGGGAAAATTAATTTGTCAGGAGAAGTTTAGATGAAACTGAGTAGGAGCAGTAAATCTGGTGATTGCAATATGAGAGTTTGAGATGTAGGACTGAGCAGGGTTCGTGGATATAATCTAAAAGGTGGACTTAGGAAGATGTAGGGCTGTAATATGAGTTTGTATGTGAAATAAGACATAAAAAATACACCGAAAAAAATTATAAAGCAACACTTTTTTTTTTGCCCCATTTTTCATGATCTGAACTCAAAGATCTAAGACTTTTTCTATGTACACAAAAGGCCTAGTTCTCTCAAATAAATATTGTTGACAAATCTGTCTAAATCTGTGTTAGTGAGCACTTCTCCTTTGCCGAGATAATCCATCCACCTCACAGGTGTGGCATATCAAGATGCTGATTAGACAGCATGAATATTGCAAAGGTGTACCTTAGGCTGGCCACAGTATTACACAATGCACAACACAATGCAGAATATTACATATTCTATTTTCCTATCCATGTTCACGTTAGGTATGGATGTCTAATGGGTTAAAAAGAACAGATGGTAATTTGCTATTCTGTACCATGAGAAATCTGGAATGTGGGTGTATAATATAGTAAGATGAGTGAGGGTCTTACTATGTGTCCTTATATGGTCAACGTTTTTGCAAAGATTTCTGATATAATTACAGTCATGTCTATAAAAGAACAGTAAATAAAGCCCACACTCTGTTCCTCTGACTTTCTGGACAAAGACACATACTCTCCATCAAAGATCTCTCTCTCTGTGATAGTGTTAAGCTGTACCATCTGTTAAGTGTTTTTCACGTAAGTACTGCAGTTTGCATTGAATAAATATATATTTTTTATAAATTACGTCAAATTGCCTATTAATATTTTTGGGTGATATAGTAGGATATTACGGTGAGCTATTTAAAGAAGAAAGTACATACATAAACAGATATATTCCTATCACCATTTTCTTATACATAAATATACACACAAAATTTGGCCTTCTACACCAAAGAAGTTGGATAGCATTGATTTATTTATTTTTGATTGTAGACAGTGTATTGATTTAGAAAAAAAATCACCAGCTTAGCAAATGGTTTCATTTTCTTTCCAGTTTTCAAAGTTATCAAGGCAAATTATTTTAATGACTAGATCTCTAGTTCTTTCTTTGTAAAACAGTATACAGAGATACTATACCTTAATAGGTCAACCAGTGATGTCTTATGAGACATTAATTCATACAGGAGAAGGGCCTAAAACAGAAATGAACGTAAGAAAACATGTTTACTATTATCAGCATTACTTACACTCTTCACCAATTAAACCCCAAATAATTTTCTATCTATAGATGTTTGATGGTTCTGTGGCCAGGCAGAAGACACAGTTGAGTAATATTTTCTACAAATAAGATCCAAGCCCAGAGAAGAAGAGCAGCTAGTCGAAACTGGCTAAATATACTCCAGATTACTATTGTCACCCACTGGCCTCCAATGTGTACTGGAAGAGTTGTCTCAAGGTAATTGGTACCAAGTTTCAAATTCATCTTTCTATTTGTAGTCTCCCCAGTCCCTGTTGTACTACAAAACGGTGTGCACCAACCAATAAAGTTAGTTTTGTCTCAAATTTGTTCTTGATAGAATTTAAATGTCATACATGGACTAATTTGTGAGAAATGTGTTTTTTTTCAGTTTTTCATTGAAATCAGACTTAAATTGTATATTTGAAATTCTTGTATATCGTTAGGCTCACTTAGTTTTTTTGTTGCATCACGTTGTGTTTACACTGCACATTTTATTTTCCATAAGGTCAGACATTGTGCTAGATTTACTGAATATCTTAACTGCGGGTGTCTATACGATGTAATGTGAACATAAGGATCCATATGTGATTGTTTTGTACATTTGATAATAAAATAGTGCCTTGTAATATATTCTCACGATGGATATGGATGAATTCTAAGTTATGTTAGTGCGCCATGGGTTAGTTTGAAACACAAAGAACTGTGAAATATATAATTACAACAAACACACAGGATCGCAAATAATGAACTAACCTCACTACAGTCTTTACCTGAAAACTGACAAATACAAGACTAGTCCTTCTGATGACCAGTACCACCAGAGAGAGCAGGATCCAAAGACTAGACTATCTAAATAAAGCCCTTCAAAAACATGTATCAAGAATCTCAGAATCATTCGTTAAAATGAGAATTCAAAGTGAATTACATTTTTAAAACCCAAGTTGCCAAATTAAGCCTAGCTAGCTTAGAGATTGTTTCCAGCTGGCTATCTTACCAATTCATTTGAAATTCACTTTGAATTAACTTTGAAACTTTGATAAAAAAGAGATGAGTGAACTCAAAAATGAGAGAGAGGAACAGCAGTTTCTTTGGAAGATTGGGCTGCTCCTCATAGACACCTGGGTAAAGTATTCTTGAGTGACAACAGTCTGGGCAGTCTGCTAAAACTGTTATTGTATTGTGTCATTGGGTCATTCGGAATTAGATAAAATTAAAATGAAGCTGGCTAGGTAGTTTACATTCTGAATTTGACTTGACAATTGGAACCCTTTGCAGAGTCTTAACGTGGAGTGGGCAGGAGTAACAGGGGATCATGTATAATAATAATAATAATAATAATTTAAAGTACTGTAAGTATTAGTCCTGCGAAATTCATCTTACTGGCTTTTCACTTCCTGTATGATAGCAGCTTCCTGCTCAGCAAGTGAAAGGCACAAGAAAATGGCTCCCCCAAACTTACAATCCATGTGTGTATTTTTAAAGATATTCTATTCTGCAAATGTGAAGTCTTTTTCCTTTATAACTAGATTATTTACGATGCTATTTAATGTAAGAGAAATCGGTTATAGTTTCTCAAATGCATGAAGAAAAATTTCAACCATGCTTTAGGAGTGTCAAATATGGTCTTTCTCCACTGAAAATAATATAGGATCCTTTCTGAGGCTCAGCCCAGAGGTGTCTCATGCAAATTTTCGTAGAAATCAGATCAGGTCATTTTCTATTCTGGCTTTAATCTCACCTTGAATGAGCACTGGATGCCAAAGGTCGGAAGACATAATTACCTGACTCGTTCTCATTTCTTTCTCCTTTAGTACTGCAACATTCAGGTCCTGTTGTGCTAATAATTGTGACAGAGGGACTTCTCTAAAGAATGCACCGTTCATGTCTGATACAACTGTCTGCAAATCTCCCGATGACAGCACCTAATTAAAGGTGGAGGGGAGAATCTGACTATCATAATGTGAGTTACAATCTACATAATTGTTCTATAAACCGGAAATATAGAATATGCAAATTAAATATAAAACATACGTTATACAATAAATGCACCCAAGAAGGTTTAGTGCTTAGAGGGTACTGAACAAGAATTAGGGGACAATGGAGGGATATACAGTGTAGTATGTTGTATGAGAAGGAATATGGAGAATGAGGTGCACTTGGGTGATCCAGGAGATATGTAACAGAACCATAAAGTGTAGTATGTACATAATACACTACCTGTGTATGGTACTTATTCTGTTTATGTACATACTACAGTATATGGTTCATATTCTGTTTATATATATATATACGACACTATATAGTACTTATTCTGTTTCTGTTACCTACCTCCTGGATCTCCCATTTGGATCAAGACATACCCTGCACATCCTTAAAGGATTACTATAGGGTCAGGAACACAAACATGTATTCCTCACCCTATAGTTTTAAAACCACCATCTAGTCCCCCTGGGCCCCTCGTGCCTCCATAAATATAGAAAAATCTTACTGTATTCAAGCCTGAAGCTGTAACTCTGCATGCTGTGTGACTCAGAAAAACAAGCAGTCTGCTGACATCATCAGAAGTGGTAGCCTGATCCAATCACAATGCTTCCCCATAGGATTGGCTGAGACTGACAAAGAGGCAGATCAAGGGCGGAGCCAGCACAATTCAAACACAGCCCTGGCCAATCAGCAGCTCCACATAGAGATGAATTGAATCAATGAATCTGTACGAGGAAAGTTCAGTGTCTGCATGCAGACGGAGGAGACACTGAATGTTTGGATGCATTTTAGGCTGCCATGACCCAGGAAGGATCTCTAACAGCCATATGAGGAGTGGCCAGTGGAGCTATCACTAGGCTGTAATGTAAACACTGCATTTTCTCTGAAAAGACCGTGTTTACAGCAAAAAAGTGGAGCTAACGGGTAAACATGGTTAGTGCACCTCTTTCTCCTTATTCCTTCGCATATGAAATACTACACTATACTCCTCCATTGTACCCTTCTTCTGTTTCCATATATCAACTGAGAAAATTTCAAGGCGCTACACCCATTTATAACAAATAAGTTATACAATGTATATTACTATTACAATTATATAAACATACATTATAAAATAACAGTATAAGTACTTTGTATTCTTGTTTGGAGCTAAACTCCATTAACAATTTAAATGCCAAAGGTCTGCACAACATATTAAGGTCTCGATCTAATATTTATGGGTACACTTTTACAGTGATTTAATATTTCGAAAAATGTTTTACATTTATAACATTAAATATTTTTTTTAAATATATTTTTTATACATTTGAAGTTTACTTTGAATTAACTTTCAATTCTTACTTTAGTAAATATCCCTGTATATATTAGGTGCTTTAAATATGAACTTTGAGACTTTGATGAAAAAGATATAGTTTTTGATATTTTAATATTTTGAAAAAATATTTTAAAAGTTTATCCATAAATATGAAATTGAGTACTATAATAGATAACATGTCCTATGTTTTCCCACACAGCATTTAATGTCTCTCTGTGTCACTAAATTTCATTATTGTAGCCTTTATCTCGTTTTGTTTAAACTAGTGCTTTGGTTTTTTTACCATGTTAAGCCTTTCTTCAATGAAATGTCTAAATGGTTAACAGACCAAATAAAATGCATTTTGGCTTGATAAATATATATATTTTTGTGTCAGTCTATTCACTAAATAGTGATGAATAGACAAATCAATTGCAGAATTTAGGCCACAAATAGTTTTTTTTCTGTAACTTGACTTAGTGACAAGGTTGGACGGAATCAATATTGGTAATATTGGAAAAGTTATTTTGCAATATTAATATGGTCAAGAAGAGCACAGTCTCTGGTGGCCACTTCCAAACAGTTTAACAAACCTGTCTATGGTGCCTAGAGTGCAATTTGAGCTCTCTTTTCTGTAACAATAAAAATAAAACTGATGTAACGTAAAAAAAAAAAGAACTTTAATAAACATAGACTTAGCGGGGGGAAAAAACCCCAAAAACGAACAGACAGAAGTTACTTTGGCATTAGGGCCAAATTCCAGAGAAGATGCAGCTGATGGGTGACAGAGTTATCATACTGAGAACAAATAAAAGACCGAGAAGTTAGAGTAGAAAAGTGGTGGAGGTAATCACATGGCAAGAAAGAAACTTAAACTGTGAAATATAAAACTGGAAGGAGAAGGAGATAGGGTTGCCACTAGTCAAGTCCAATGTTTGATTTGGCTGTTTGGTAAAATCTGTTGTAAAATGTAATATAAAATATCTGGTATTTTCTTCTTAACCTGCTGTCAGTGGCAGCAGACCAACCTGTGGGCATGACTATAAGGGGTAACAAGGCTATGCAGTACTGAAGAGGTCATTTACAGTAGCAATGTGGCTCTATTATTGGTGTGTGCTTGGTGGAACCTGCATTGATCCGGTGCTTCTCTCATCGTTGGTTGCTGTTACTTGTCCAACCTGGTGCATGAAGATCTAAATTGTGACGATGTCCAATCCCACCTTCTAATTCTATTTGAACTTTGCATTTCAATGGGGTAGTGACAGCAATCTATGTCGAGAGAAGCATGGATCAATGCAGCTCCCACACAGCAGTCAGCATATAACTACACTGTCAGGGTACAATAGAAGGAACAATGATAAGGTGGGATAACTGAGAAATGAGATGGAAGAAAGGGGCAATATAGTTGAGGGATGGATGCCTACCTCCATTATTATTCACTCATTGTCCAGCATTTTTTGGAGGACAGCTAACTACCCTAGAAGGATGTGGTAAGGACATGGTTTGTACAATTGGACTTACAAGATGAAGAGGACTTATAGCATAATTCTAATGTATAAAATGTGTATAAACCACACAATAAATTCATGAATTACCCGGCTTAGGATGCTTTCCTGTTGTGCCGGAGAAAGACCAGAGGCATGTTGAGAAAGTCCGACTTTCAGAGCCATCGAAAGCTCCCGTGGATTCATGTCATAAAATGACTGAGCACTTATACCTGACACCAGTTCTCCAAGGTGACTGATATTGGAAAAGGTTAACACCTAGGGCAGAGAGATCCAATACATTCCATGAATAATATGTATCATGTTACATTCATTTTCTTCTCAGAACAAAACTTTGAGAAATGAAAACAAAACAAATGAAATTTCAATTAATTTTTTTTGACTTTGTAACCTTGAGCCCCCCATATGTTTTTAGATGTGGGGTGTTAATGATACCAGAAAATCCTGGGAATTGTAGTGGTTGAACTGACCAGGGGGATGTCTTACCTTGTCAGAATTTATATATTTCCCGGTCAGTACCATAATCTGACTTTTAGTCCAGCCAGAGACCTGCTGGAGAGTCAGGATTGCTCCCTGCACAGCCTCTGGTGACAGAGCCTCCAGCTGCGACAGTGTCAGACTAACGACAGCATCAGATAGAGATCCCAGACTCTCGTTCAAAGTCTGGTTTAACATAGCAATCTGGAGAAACTGAGACTTCATCTGCAAAAAAATAAAGGGTTCCACTTAGATAATTTGAAGATAACTCGTTATACAAAAGGAATGATAAAAAGTTGCATACTTGAGTTACTAGCAGGGGGATTAAACATATTTACAGGTTAATTTCAGGGGTTCCCAATTCATTTAGAGCAGGGGTTCCTAATGAATTTTTCCCCTGGAACCATTTGACACAGTACCAACATCGAAAAATAATTTGCGTCGTAGCACAAACCTTTTAATAAGTGGCTTTTTTATTATCATTTTCAAATATTTTGCTCATAAACTGTTTAGTTTTATGATACTCCTGAAAAAGGCAATGTCTTTATCTTTGTACTCTGGGTGGTTTTGCTCAAAAATGACGACGTAATTTAGCAGTTGCTAATGAACTGTTTGGCAATATTTTCTTGCAAACTGAGCATTGTGCTTGAGGTATATTTTTATTTCTGGCACTTCATAATCCAAATTTTAAGTAGCTTTCATCATATTTTCTTTTCTTTCTTTGAGAAGAAGATTGTGTAGCATTCTGTACTTTTTTTCTTTGACTTGTCACTTGTCTCTGCTATTTGAGGAACAGTAGATTCAACTATTTTGGACTTGTTTCCTTGTTGTATCGTCTTTCTCAGTTTCTAAAATTGTCGAACAATTAGAAGTAGTGATACTTTTTCTCTTGATAGTTCCTTGTTTTAACCAATTGTCCAAATTCATGGTTGTTCACTGGTAAAAAAAAAAAAACACTTCTCTAACCCCAAAAAATACAGATCTCACTACCTGACTGCAAAGGATGCTGAGAAGACTTTACTACAGATTTCGCCAAAGGACGCTGTTTTGTTAACAGCTCTTAGAATTAAATTGTTTTGGTATATCACAGATTTCTACTGATAGTAGGCAGAAAAAATGAAATAAAAAATTACATATATAAAATGATGTCAGACGGGGGAGCTGACGTCGGCGGGGGAGGAGAGGTCACCAACACCGAGGGAGCACGGATTAAGGTAAGTGGCTGAAGGGGTTTTAAAGATCGCGACCGCGCAATCTCTGCTGTTTCCGACCTTCCGGGAACAGCAGGGAACAACGGCCATCTTGGATTGGGCAATTCACGGCAGAGGCCCAATTGGGAAACGCTGCCTCAGAGGAACGTAAAAGAACTCCATCCAGGGGATCATTATCGAGGAATCATAAGGAACAGACTGAATGTTCTTGTGTTTTAAGATCTATTATAGGACAATTTATGTGATGTGTTTGTCAGAGAATGAAATAAAGATTTACTTGCATACATATAACATTTTATTTATAACCAGACCAGAGTCCTATAGGATGCAATAAGGTGGTAATTGCAGCCCTACCTGGTGGTCTTTTATGTGGAATATGGAATCTAAGTCCATGGTGTCATCAATTTTCCATTACTGCTGGTACTGTCACAGGGAAACCATCCCATCGTTCTGTGTTACTTTCCTACAGCCTGCAACATGTACACAGTAGTGCTTGTCCTTTTTACCTTTTTTCGTGTATTCAGACAGATTTCTAGAATACATGATAAAGTACTGCAGTATTTTATCATTCACTATAATTAAATATTTATCTTGCAGTAAAATTAATAGGGTAGGAATGGCTCGTCTTTATATTGAAGATTCTGCTAGTTTCTTCTACAACTATAGTTTTCATGACCTTTGGCCACCTGCTAGGCATCATGGGAAATGTACTTCAGTAACGTTTAGCCATCACTGGCATTGGTTGTACCTTGAGAAGTCAATTTACTATATTATAAGCTTTTTTTTTGTTAACCCAGGAGGCTGCCATTTACTGAGGCCCACACACCTGGATTTGAAGCATGGTTATTCTGAAATTAAGAGATTTTATTAACCAGGTATTAACAATAAATGAACAAGCAATTTCTTCCAGACTGGATCTCTTTGAAATCACTATAACCCCTAGCTGAGAAATATTACTATTTATCTGCCCTATCACTTTCCCTGCCAATAGTATTACAGACTGGCAACATGCACAGAAATCAAGATGGCTGAGTCAAAATGGCACAAAATAAACAGCACAATAAATTAAGTAAATTATTAGTTAGTAAATTATTAATGCAATTATTCAAATTGAATGATTATGAAGAAATGTCTTGCTGAATATGTGAACCATATAAATGTGCATATTTTACAGGAATATATCTTTATATTATTTATTACTTAGTACCCCAACCCCTTTATCAAAAAACTGTGAGACCTCCCCCTATATTGTAGGACAGGGCGACATTCCCCTGTTTATGTGTCACTCTCCATATATACACTAGGATGTAGAAGCATGGATATTGTTAAAGACCACTATAGTGCCAGGAAAACAAACTTGTTTTCCTGGCTCTATAGGGTCTTTAGGTCCCCCCCCCCCACCACCCTCAAGGTCCAACTCCCGCCGGGCTCTAGGGGGAGGAAGGGGTTAAATGCTTACCTTTCTCCAACGCCGGGCTCCCTCGGCGCTGGGGACTCTCCTCCCTCTTCTGACGTCATCGGCTGAATGCACATGTGCGGCAAGAGCCGTGCGCGCATTCAGTCAGTCCATTTTTAATGCTTTCCTATGGACGCTGGCGTCTTCTCACTGTGATTTTCACAGTGAGAAGCGCGGAAGCGCCTCTAGCGGCTGTCAATGAGACAGCCACTGGAGGCTGGATTAACCCTAATGTAAACATAGCGGTTTCTCTGAAACCGCTATGTTTACAGCTGCAGGGTTAACCCTAGATGGACCTGGCACCCAGACCACTTCATTGAGCTGAAATTGTCTGGGTGCCTATAGTGGTCCTTTAAGTCCTACTTTGACCCTAATCTTCTAACCACCTCAACAAACACCCTACAGTTAGACCAGGAGTAAAGTGGTCCAGGACTCAAGTTTGAGAAGGACTGGATTTCACCTTGTAGATATAAGGTTCTGAAACAGTGGACTTAGCCAAATGGTGTGAAATTGCTGTGCCTGCATGATGTGCTGTTTTTATACACAGAAGAGTAAATCGAGGTAAAGAAGAAATGTCACCTTTTGTACATCAGCATGATAGCTCCTCAGCTGGTTGCACTTGATCATTTGGTGCAGCAATGCTCTGGCCACTGTTGGATCGAGATCTAGTACATCATCGTAGAAGCAAACCAACAATCCAAGCCTAGGATTTTCAGGGAAAATAAATTAGTTAGAGCTAAAAAAAAATATTTTATGAAATCAATAATTATATATCAGGTAGTATTTCTCAAATTATGACTCAAGCACCATCAGGTGTCCATAATGCACCCTTTTTGAAGGCAATTGGGTCATCCCTAAATCCTTAACTATTGAAGGTTCTTTAACAACTTACAGGCTACGGGTCAGTTTTTCAGAGAATTCTGCATTTGGTGAAATTAGCATAGCAAAATGCTGACTGTTACTTTCCATGGAAACGTAGTAAGATACTTTTTAGATGTAAAGATACATATATCATCAAAAAAGAAAAATAGGAGAGAAAGTGCATTGTCAGTCCTTAGAATTACTGGGATTACAGAGAAACTGCCAGACAGGCAAAAAAAAAAGAGGAGGCAAGAAACCTGAGAATAGATCGAGAAGAAAAAAAAAGAAATGAAAAAGAAAAAAGAAACTGGAGATCAGTGTAGTGACGGAACAGGCCGGAGCAGACAGCAGTGAAATGGAACATGGTGTAACAAGCCAAGGTCAGGATATCTGAGATAACAATCATCAAACAAACCAAAACAATAGGCACCCAGACAACACATAAGTTAGTGCTCCAGAAAGCAAGAAACATGTAAGCACTTCATGGCATACGTGACCTTGCAATATAATGAGAACAAAGAGATGCACCTCGTTTGTAATTCCAAATTACACTTTTACTACGGTGAACATGCACCAGTCCTGTACGATTCCATACAGCATTAAAAACATACACTTCCTCAGACTGTTATTAGGTCATGATGTGAGAAGCCCCCATGTTCTAAAATTATTAGCAGATTAGTGTCCACTTGGATATGGGCAGGTGATATGGTATATGGAGGTTAAATGCAAACTTGCTTTAGAGATATGGGCAGCATGATTAAGTGTCACCTGAGCATGTGCGTGTATCACAGAGCTCCACAGGACTATTACTCATATTAATGTGCAGCGTGAGTCTACCACAAAGCTCCACATCTATAAAATTCACAGTCATTTGCGGTGTGTATGAGTATATCACAGCGTTCCAACACAATAAAACTCACAGTAATTTGTGTTCGAGCTGTAAACGCCACTGAACCTTAGTTTATGTATATTAGATGCATTTTTAAAAATTTCAATAAATATCCTAACTATATAAATAACTGTTAGCTCATACAATCTAAATGTGCTCTGGTAGTGTCCCCAAGCCAAACCTCTCTAGATACTTCCTCAAGAGGGATATGTAAATATTATTCCTGTCGTGGTTTCAACTGAATTTTTCATGAAAAGTTTTTTTGAAAAGTCAATTTGATGGCTTACAAAGTAGACAGTTGACTGTTAGAGTAGGACCTGCCAAATATGGAGTACATTTACATTGTGGCAGGCCATTGTTTTTTTTGCCTAGATTAGGTGTTTTTGATAAAACTAGCAAAATAGCTGTTTAGCAGATAAGGAAGTGCGCTGGATTTTCATTTTTTGGGAAGTTAATGGTGACAGGAGCTAAAATGGCCGGCCTATTTATATTAGGCCGCTCCCCCAGTCAAACTTCAAAGCACACCACGTGTTCTCCAACCCCCTGTTCTCCAACCCCTGTCAAGGCCCTATTCCACTTATGCTGCTTAAGTTCCATGGGGCTACAATTTTCTGGGAATATGGTGACTAAAAAATATTTTGGCCTATACATTCTATATGAAGACAAGGTGATAAACTAGAAAAATTGCAAATCCTTTTACAAAATAATACAATTAATTCCACCACCTACACATTTCGCCTACATCTCTCACGTATCTAGGCATTAAACTATCAGGGGATCCCTCTACCTTACATAAACTAAATTACACGCCCATGATTAACACACTCATAATGGACATGGAGACCTGGGCAGATAAGCCCATCTCCTGGATCGGGAGAATACACTCTGTTAAAATGAATATTCTACCCAGAATCTTATTCCTGTTCCAGGCCCTGCCCATTCCCATCACAAAACGAGACCTCACTCCCTTACAACAGGCAATAGACCGGTTCATCTGGCAGAACAAAAGACACAGGGTGTCCCGCAACATACTCTACCGCTCCAAGACAAGAGGAGGCTTGGTATTACCTCACTTACACTACTACTACTTAGCGGCCCAATTAACACAAATAGCCCTATGGCATACCCCCCCCAGAAACTAGGCGATGGGTAGACCTTGAGTCACTACTTATGAAATCCGATCTCCCACAATTCTACATATGGACCCCGAGGGAACAGAGAGCATTACCAAGAACAGCCTGCCCATCCATCACCAATTCCATACAGTTGTGGGACAGGTTCGCCCTAAAATATGAACTCATGTCCTCACCCTCACCCTGATATACCGCAACAGAGCCTTCATACCGGGCAAGAGACCAAGAGACTTCAGAGGCCTCGAACACGCCGGTCTCCAGAGAGTCCACCAATTATACATAGGCGACTCTGTGGTCTCCTTCACGGAGCTACAACCTAGAGCCACCCTAACCCCATCTGACTTCTTCAGATACCTCCAACTCCGAAATTACGCTACCCAGGCGACAGTGAAAACTGCCGCCAAAACCAACTACCACACATAGAAGTACCAACAGGGCATGATCACCCAACTATACTCCCAACTCTGTTCCACCACAAAAGACTGGGGCAACCTACACTACACTGATAAATGGGAAACCAAACTAGGAGAGACACTAGAGAGTATAGACTGGCAGGATACCTGGGAGGCCAACTCAAAAACCTCTATATGCGTTACAATGAAAACACAATCTTATAAAACAATGTTCCGGTGGTATACCACACCGGTGCAATTGTACCACACCCACATGTGGTGGTCCTGTCCCAAGGTTAGAGTTTTCTGGAAAGATATCCAAACACTAGCATCCCAAATACTATCCAGACCGGTCAAATTGAACCCATGGATGTTTCTGTTAGAAAAACCCTTTGACAACTGGTCCAGACCAGAACAACAGCTGATCAACAAAATCACCCTAGCAGCTAGACGGGCCCTGGGCCCAAACCTGGCTGCGAACCACCATGCCTCCCATGACCGCAGTACTCAATAAAATTAAAGAATTCCACCTTAAGGACAAGCTGACCGTCCAATTGCGAGGCTCCATTAAAACATTCTCCAAGACGTGGGAAAATTACATCGACACACGACAACAACACCTAGACCAGTGTTTCCCAACCCAGTCCTCAAGGCACACCTACCAGTCCAGGATTTAGGGATTACCCAGTTGTGTCTAAGGTGTTTTACAAAGAAGAAAAAAAACACCTTAGACACAACTGGGTAATCCCTAAATCCTGGACTGGTAGGTGTGCCTTGAGGACTGGGTTGGGAAACACTGACCTAGACTAACCAACAAACAAACCGATAACACACCGACCAAGACACTACCCCTAAACCTTCCCTGCTCACCCCCCCTTCTTCTCTACTAGGCCGAGACAACCGGTACCCCGGCCTAAAGTTCATGTTCTTCAAACTACTGACACAGAACCACAGTTAAATTTATCGATACCTATTGTTATGTGTGTACTCACTCTTTCTCCTGTTAAACAAAAAACCGCTGGCAGATGGCAACTACATCATGAGTGCAACAGAGACATAAAATGTATATTGCTTTTCTTCTGTACCAACCACACAATGTCGAACCATACATTGGCTCTTGCATAAGCATATGTACAGTAAATGTATTTTTAATTCATCTGTCATTGCAAAAATAAAGAATTATATATATATATATATATATATATATAAAAAGAATACAATTAATTAACCTTTTCACAGACAAGTCAATAACATGTCAAGACTTTCACAATGACAGTCACAAAACTGATATATCATGACAAGGGATTGGCGTAACACTTATCTTGAAGGTATCATCCACTTTTCGAGATAATAGCAAATAAACATTTTTTAAAAAGATTATTTAGATTTTCTGTAAGATTATATGTTTTCCTTACCTGTATATGGTGGAAATGTTCCTCATATCGAATCCTGAGGAGTTTATAAGTTCCAAAAAAGCTTTTGCCAGGTCTGGTGTTATATCATACACAGTATCTAGCTGTTTTGTGGCATTATCGTAGCTGATAAACATTCGTATCTTTAAATGGAATTATTTAGAAAAACTGTTAGTTTCTTTTTCATTGCAGTGAAATCCTACAAGTCTCATATAATTCTCCTTACAATCTAACTTCACAGGAAAAGTCTACACCACAGGCACTACCCTGACTCCACTAAAATACTTGAACTCTGACCCAACAAGACTGACTAATGTAAAACCAAGCTAACTAGCCCTGTACAAATGTATCTTTACAGCAATTATTTTTGGTTGCCCCATAACAACCATTAGATCATTAGGAAAGCAGAGGATGAAACAAATGTCATCAGACATGTCTTCACAATGTTCCCCCATTCATTTGAAAGGCTGCACCAGGACCTCACACTTAGGGCCATCCAATGGGCATTACTTATCTGAGAACCAGTCAGGTTCCACAGCTCTTTCATAGGGTACCGAACGAGACTGCATCAGATTATTAGTTCCCCTGAGAGGGAGGGAGTTCAGGTCACATCCTCCCAGCTTGTAGAGAGTCGAGTGGAGAGGGAGAAAAAGAAGCACAGATAGGAGCGAGAGAGGGACTGAGCAAGACTGAGACTCCCATGGATCCATTCCCACATTCTGCAACCCACATCCATTGGACCCCAGGGAAGCTAGACCCCTGCACCCAAAACAGGAAGGTGTCCTAAAATATATTACTTGTGACATATATGTGTATCTGTGTAAGTCTGTGTGCGTGTATATCTATGCCATTGTGTGTGTCAGTGTGTGCATTTGTGTGTGTCCGTGCATATATCCCAGCATTCAAACACCAACACTACACACAAACACACCCCTGTGTTTAAACGTACACAGTAGACACAAACACACAAGTGCTTTCAAACACCAATACTATACTATACACAAATTCATTCTGGCATGTCAACTATACATACAAACATGCAACTGCATTCAAACACGAGCAACACACACACACATACACACTCTCTCTCTCCACGCAAAAAACATGCTTACACTCAAACACACAGATACTGCTCAAAAACACAACCCTGCAAGGAAAGGGCACATGGTAGATCCCCTGCTGGTATAGCATTGTGGGGTGTAGGACAGCCGAGGATCTACTTTTTGGCAACCCTGGAGTGGGGGGGGGGAGTGGATGTCAGAGATTGCATATCATGGTCTTATCCAAATTATTCATCAAAACTAGACTAGTGGGGAAATAGATCATTGAGTAAAATTCTAAAGTGCAGTGTACATATTACAATCAATGTAATGGGCTATATTATGCTTTACAGATATGCACCTGGGATAATGAGGAAAAAAGACAGTGCGGGGTAATACGGAATAAACATTTCTCTAAAAATAACTTGTGAAACTCATTTTATCCAATGAATACTAATTAAACTAATAAAGAAAAAGAAAGAGAACAAATTGAAAAAAATGTCTAATATAACCAATTATTCCCAGTCAAATCACATTTTCCAGAGCAATTAATATTGCTTAAGTATAGTGGATCCGGCAAACCACCACTAAAAACAGTTATTTTTGAACAGACATATATTTTTTCAATTCATGTTCATATTGGATATAGAACATATACGTGATGTCTGCTTCATTAATTCATGTATGTTTTATGTTACATCCTTTTTCACTTTATTCTTTTGCACAGACATTGCAGGATCCACATGCATCTGCTCACATCCGATTCAATGCCATATTGGAGGAGGCAGACATAAGCTTTGGCTAATTAGCTCTGGCTAATTATTACATTACAGTTATGTTGACTAATCTGCAACCCAGATGTCTGTAAAATACATTTCAGTTATGTAGTTCGCAATCTTCTGAAATGTTATGGAAAGCCTTCACTGTCGTAAACTATACGTTTGTTTCACACAATCCCCGTGTGATGAAGTTTTATGTTTTCCTGAGATGTCTTCTTTGCTTACTTTAGAAAATGAATATTTGGATCTACTCACTTCATTTACATTTATTTTCCTGATTTCGTCAACTGGAAGATGAACCATATATCTGCCCAAAATCCAGAGGTTCTCAGCTGTAACCCATGATGTGGATCCATTGAAATCTGTGGATATAAGTTTGTCTCATTTTTTTGATACGTTCTCAAACTTATAAATGTGAAACAGTCACCATGAAAACGAACGGAATAGTTCTGCTAATTGCTCCACATCAATAAATTTGACCAGACAGCAATGCTTATAAAACCCCCAATGTCCCCTAAACTCACCATTATTCATGTAATTTTTTTGGAGAATTTCAGTCATCCATTCATACAGAGCTCTCCTATCATTGGCTGTTATCTTATCGTACAGTTCCTTGAAAACAGATGACCTAAATCATAGATATGTCTGTTATCCTTTATAAGACAATAATATAATGTTATTAATAGATAAAGCAATATGTACTACTCAATCGGTTACCATTAACCCAATCAAGAGATATACAGGATCTCTCAAAAGTGAGTACACCCCTCACATTTTTGTAAATATTTAATTATATCTTTTCATGTGACAAAACTGAAGAAATTACACTCTGCTACAATGTAAAGTAGGAAGTGTACAGCCCGTTTAACAGCATAAATTTGCTGCCTCCTTAAAAAAACTCAACACACAGCCATTAATGTCTAAACACTGTCTTCAGTGTTTTCACATGAAAAGATATGAAAAAAAATACTTACAAAACTGTGAGGGGTGATCTCAGTTTTGTGAGATACTGTATATAATAGCAGATACTTGTGTTCAATAAATCAAAATCATTTTTATTTACATACCATACCATACCTTGTCTTTTTCCCAATTGTACAGCGCTGCAGAATTTGCTGGCACTTTATAAATGCCAGTAATAAATAAATAAATACCATACCATACTTGTTAACGTTTCAGTCCTCAAGTGGACTTTCATCAGGACAAGCGAGGTTTGTACATTACTGATTAACTATTTTAACTAGTGTTACTCATACTTATTTTACAAATACTCGTCAATTTATATCTCAAATTGTTAGTAGTCTAGGCTGAAAAAAAAGACTAAAACCATTCAGTTCAACCCTTGAACACATCTTTTTATGCTGTTGATCCAAACGTAGGCAAGAAATTCAGTATGGGAAAAAGGCTTTATCTCTGGACCACAATTTTCCTCTTTCTGCGGCATTCCTACAATATTTGCCTGGTTTACCTTATTTCAAGTCCAGTATATTGTAAATACAGTGTACTAAAGGGTTACTACAATCAATACAACAGTGTTTTTGGTCAAGAAAACACTGTTTTTGGTCACAGTAACCCTTCCTATATGGGTCCACCACCAAAAAAATGAAGAAAAAAAAATGAAAATATCTCCAAACTTATTTCTATTCCAGAGCCAATTTCACACTGTAGCCCAATCTTCCTCTGCTGACATCACTCTCCCTCGCCAAAGTGGAACAGAGGTTAGGGAGGGCGTGCTGAGGGGAGAAAATGGCCTCGCTAGCATGCATAATTAGCACAGGTTTAACAGCTGGAACTCTAGTTCTGGTCTGGCTCAGGGCACTCCAATGGTGCTGCCAGAGGTGGAGTTACACCTTCAGCAGTAGAGGTTATAGCAAAATGCTGCACATAGATTCCAGGCATCATGACCCCTTTAAATCACTGAAGTAGTTATGGTGATTTAAGTAACCATTTAATAAACCTTTCATCCCTGAACTAGTGTGCTGACCCCAAATAAAGGTTCCTTACAGATTCTTGAAGGGTTCATCCGGTAATTCAGATGGAAGATTTGCTATCACATCTCCTTGGAGGTAATGTTCTCCATACATACGAATGACTTGGCTTAGTATATCTACGCATTCTGCAGAGTTCAGAACTGGAAGACATTTCTCAAGAGTGATAAGAAATATTATCCTTTTTGCTCCTGGACACTGTAAAATCCTTTCTCGTAATGCCTCAAAATCCAGATCAATATCTACCATGTCCTAGGGAAATAATATTAAAATTATTAGATTCATCTGTTTATAATTTCCATTAGGGTACTTTGAGGAAATCCAAACATAATATTAACATGAGATGTAAACTTGCAACATAACTATCAATCAAATAATCAAAATACTTTTGTCTTGCTCAATTAAAAAGACTCAAAATACGAGGAGCAGAGCCAGTGCCAAAGCGAGACAGATGTGCTTTGCTGAAGCTCCTTGCTCATACACCACAAAACCAGGCATATTTAAGCTTTCCTCTCTCATACTGGAACAAATTGGTGCGCGATCAGTGTTGGCATAGATGGGTAAAAAAGTAAAGAAATATTGGGCGGATCTGGGCTTTGGTTCCAGAGATATCGGGATTTTCTTGAAGCAGTCTCAGAGGCCCATATTCTCCAAGATGGCGCCCGAGGAGGCCTACAGCATGCAGGTGGACAGCATGCAATTGGAGCCACCAGCCTCCTCGAGGGCACATTTGGCCTAACAATGGTCACAGGTGCAAGAAGATAATACTTCCTCACTTAACGCAGACATCAAGGCCCTGTTACAAGATGTCAGAGATATATATCGGGAGGAAATTGTTGTGGTGAAGGAGGAGGTCTCCACGGTAACAAATCACATTGTGGCCATGGAGGTAGATGAAGGGCAGTGTCAGGGTAACACAAACAGCAACATATGTCGCTATCAGTTTTCTACAGAGGTATTGCGCAGAATTGACTAGGCAGATGGCAAATATAGTGGACTGGGTTAAAGCCTGGAATGTTAATATCAGGGGAATTCTTAAAACTATATCAACTGAGGAGCTCCCTCACTATGTTCATCACCAAAAAGGCACCACAAGATGCCCCAAGGATGTAATGCTCTGCTTTGACTCTGATAAGGGTGCTCTTATAGCGGCTGCTAGAGCTTAAGTTTTAGGGACTTATCCCGGCAAACTACGATATGGAGACAGTCGCTTAGGTAAATTACTCACTTGGTCAGGGGCAATGATATTCCCAATAAGTGGGGCCCGCATTCTCTCATGGCAGTAAATAGCAAGGCGCACATACTCAGACAAATTTTGGAAGCATCAACTTTACTTAGGTTACTGGGTCTGCCGGTGGAGTCTTCTTCAGAACTGATATGCCCTGCCTGTTACCCAATTTGTGTCAAGGGGAACCTTGCCAAGGACTGAGCTGCGTCTTATATGAGATGAGCTCACCCCCGTATATATTCACCTAATGTGCCATTTAGCTCTTTAGCACATGTTGTTTTTCATGTACACGTTAGTTCAGCTGACCGAGCCCTCTGCTTACACTTTTTATATAGATTGAGATGTTGATAAAAGGTTGGGATCATGTACTAGAGAAATGTTGCTATAAAATAGGGTCACTTCATTATATGTGTAACTTTAGCTATTAACCAGGTGTATTTGTACACTATCGATTATTCGTGATGAATGTATTTCTTGTGACACGCAAAAAGAATAAATGTGAAAAAAAAACATAATCAAAATGCAAGCAGGTAATGCATGCACACACAAAAATTGTAGAGTGTTTAAATATTTAATAACATTGACCACACAATATAAAATAAAGTTATGTCTTTATAAAGTTATATCTGAAGGTTGCTTGTTTGGAGTTTCCAAGTAATTGGGTATGAAGTCATACAGGCATTGTAGCGGAAAGGTAAAATACTTAGGTAGAGAGCAGAAGAAGAGACATGCTGATTCAGGCACCAAGACAACTTCCCATTTTGCTATTAGTTTAACATAAAATGTCAATGATTCTTAGGTTTGCTTTTACTCACAAAATGCTCTTTCTTTCCACCAAAGAGGTATTTCATCGTCAACTGGAACTGCTGTGAGTCAAGTTTCCGCAATTCTGTCATGAGAAACTTGGGATCTTCAGAGATATGATCAAGGTAGTTATTCACGGACGTCTTTGGTGAACATAGGGGATATAACAAAGATACAAAATAAACCCCGTCACACATAATGATTTTAAATAAATAAATAGGATTGTATATGATTATACATTTTGCACATTTAAAAAAAATTGCATAGTGGAAACGTTATCATTTATACCTTACTGCAATTATAGCTTGTGCGATCACCCTACTCGAGAGCTCGGATTCTCTTTTTTTCATTCCTGTATACATTTTACACAGGCACAGTATATTTTTATTCTTTGTCTACTATATTCTCTTTCTTATTTTCTCTATCCAACCCTTACCTTTAAAGTATCAATAGAAAAAATATTTTGCGTAGATAAATATATCCCGATTTTTCTGATTAAACCTGGCGTCCACACATTGGCACCGGAGCTGCAGAAAGAAAGTGAGATGTGAAATGGTACATGGTTTTTCGGTTTGTAAATGTATTGCACCCCCATAAAAAAAACAAAGCATCCAATCCAGGCAGAAATATATATTTTATGCTTGGAGACCAGTCTTTTATATTAAGTTTTACTCCTTTCTCTTCCTATAACATCACCATTTTCATATTCTTACAACTTGCACAGGTGACCAGGGTTTTCCTGACCATCCACAGCTTAATGTAGTTGTTCTGGTGAGTATAATAATTGCCTGCAGGCATTTTAATGCAAACACTGCCTTTTCAGAATAAAGGCAGTTTTTACATTGCCCCCTAGGGACAATGGCCACTGGAGGTGCTTCCAAAGGCAGTGTTTTGTGTTCTCCCTTAACATGACCTTTTCTAGTGTTGCCATCATAGTTTTTTTTAACACTTTATTATAGGACATATTATGGCACCTAGGATGTTCAATAAGATATGTGCATGTGAGTCCACAGCTGAGAATAGTCTAGTTCGATTGATAAAAATTTGATATTGAAGTTGTCTTTCACCTATCCAATTCTTTGCCATGTTGGCTGACCTCTGTATCTTTATGATACTAAGATATTGTGGGGTAATCGGTTCTGCAGACATTATCTAGTTCTGGCTGCTGGTGAACAAAGCTACACTGTAGCCCTATAGACCTGTTGGACAGGGAATCTGCTCATCCTTACTTCTGATGGCTTTTGCCTCCTCTGAAAAATGTCTGATATTTGAACTTTTTCAGCAGAAGAGCAGGTATTCTTCTCAGATAAATAGTTTCCAGTGACACAATTCCTTCCAAGCATAGCCTCTACTTACCATATTAATCGATAACTTTGTTTTATCCTGAACCCTGTACTCCACAAGAGGAGACTACTAGAGACTAGAGACTACTAGAGACTACTTATTACCATTTATTAATTGAGAAATGTAATTTCCAAGTATGTTTTGGGGATGGAAATATAATAACGATAGTCTTCTCAACTCATTGTTTACATCTTAGATACTTGAAAAGGAAAGATGCGACTTCTTCCATGCTTTTAGAATTTAGCATTGTGGCAGATTCTAATGCTTCTCCAAGTATCGTTTGCAGAGCTGCTAATTTGTCCATTCAACACCTTTACCATGTATCTCCAGCCTTTTCAGATTAGCGTGGCCGCAAGGTTCTTCAGATGATTACTCGCTATTAACAAATACATTTTCTGCATTTAATTCATAACCAACCTTTGGTATATCCATGGCTGATTTTCTATTGCTTGAATATTGCCCACAGTTTAATGCTGTTATATCAAGTCAGGAAACATTTACATTTATCCATATTTAATGTAATTTTCCTTTCCTTACTATTATCTAGGGCAGCATTGTTTTCCCACTCAGGTTTTTCCACCTTCTCTCCCGATAGTAGATACATATAAGACTGGGGATAATGGAAAGGAGTTAAAGGAACACTATAGGGTCAGGAACACAAACATGTATTCCTGACCCTATAGTGTTAAAAACACTATCAGGCACGCCCTTGCCTCTTAAATATAGTAAACTCATACCTATATTCCAGTCTGCTGCTGCTGGCTCTTCTTCTGATCTGCCTGCTTGGCTGACATCATCAGAAGTGTTAATCTGAACCAATCACAATGCTTTCCCATATTATTGACTAAGACTGTCAAGGAGTAAGATTTGGGGCAGAGCCAGCACAAGTCAAACACAGCTCTGGGCAATCCACATCTCCTCATAGAGATTAATTCAATCAATGCAGTTCTATGAGGGTGGAGACACTGAATGTCAGTCACACTGTGCAGCACTGCCCGAGGAAGCACCTCTAGTAGCCATCTGAGGAGTGGCTTATGGAGTTATCACTGGGCTGTAATGTAAACGCTGCATTTTTTCTGAAAACACAGTGTTTACTGCAAAAAGCCTGCAGGGACTAATTATACTCTTCAGAACAAATACAATAAGCTGTAGTTGCTCTAGTGACCATAGGTTCCCTTTAATGTGGATAATAGCCAGGAAAAAAGAATTATAATAAGTACGTGTATATTTTCTTTAATATCATTGTTTGTAAGTACTGAGAATACAGACTGTGAGGAAAATGCTGTGCAGAGCTTCATAAATTATTATTGTACACCCGAGGTTCCCAACCCTGACTTAGAGGTGCACCAACACTCCTGAATTTCAGCTTCTGTTCCAGTAGTGATACTGATAGATCCTGGACTGCTGGTGTGTCTTGAGGACTGTCCTAGACAGAGGATTCATTCTGTTATGTTTTGCTGTTTAAGAAATGTATGTTATTTTAAATACAGAATGATTCACAGGTTCTCTTAGTGCCATGGTCCGGGTAGCTTAGTTCTTGTTGACTTAGTAGTAATATTATAAAGCATACATATGAGTCCTTCACTGGCCATGATACAGCAGTCAAAGTAAGAGCCAGATACAATGTACCGTAATATCAGGCCGTCCACTAAATGCTCAACAACATGATAGACTTCTAGAATTATATATATATATATATATATATATATATACACACACATATATATATCCTATTTATTCACCAATATTACAACCCTTCCACCTTCATGTACAATTTTGGCTAGTTCTTTGTCTGTTTTTTTTAAACATAAGGCCAGCTAGTGTCCATTGTATTGGTGGGTGGTATGCTAAGTGAACAGCGTCAGACAAATTGTCCTATGTCTACAGGTGGAACACTGAATGCTTCAAAAATGTACCTGTGAAATTGCAGTATGTCAAGTAGGCCTGTAAAGACAATGCATAAAATTAGCTATTTGCGGGAGATACACAGAATAGAATAGAATAAAATTGAACTGAATAGAAAGAAAATACACAGAATAGTGAGATCTGCTAAATGCTATATAAATTACAGAGATCAGAGAAAATTATTTAATATCCCAGAATTCTTCATTACAGTATATTAGATAAATTACTTTCATAGTTCATGATGTTCTAAAATTGACCATAAGTATTAGGAAAGTATCAGTTCTTTCTAGGGTGACAATAATTACATTAAATGTAGAGACAACATAAAACTATGTATGGAGAACCAAGTTTGTTAAGTGAATTTGTCATAACAGATTTTTTTAATGTAATTATTTATGTCCAATCCAGTGCCCTCCACGTCACTGTCATACAGGGTTTATGGGTGTTACACTAAAATAAACCAACCCAGCACAACCACCAATATCTCACACCATCCTATCTGATTCTTTCATCCTACCTCTCTTCTAAGATGGTGACTATTGTGACTATTGTGACATAAAGAAGATATTACTATACTTACCGAGCAAATATTTTCCAGAAATTATTCCATTCTGAAACAAAGAAAAGAACTGGATTCATCACACTGTGAAAATAATGGTGTGTTTTTCAATACAAAATAATATGGTAAAAATACTAACCAGTCCATTAAGCAGCTGCATAGGTAAGTCTATAAAATAAGCATAAGAAGAGTTTCAGCGAATACATATAAAATGCCTTGTAAGGAAATATAAATGCAGCATAAATTGTATCTTCCAAAAATCCATTGTTTGCAATGTGAGACTGTGAGACAAGTTCATTTGGATATAGAAAGATATGGTATAAAAGGTACACCAACTAGTGGAGCACTTATACAAATAAAAAGTGATAGAGGGGTTCACTTACCCCAACAATTTAGTGTGATCTCACACTTGCAAACATATAAAAAAGGTGAACAAAAACAAAGAACATATAGTGTAGATGGTCTTTAGTGGTGATGAGTGATATAAGTAAATAACTAGAACCACTCACATGGTCTGGAGCCTATATGGTATTGGCTTCGTAACGTAAACCTTTGTGCTCTTTGGGCAGCAACACACCCCTTCCTCTATGATGAACCTCCATCAAAAGGCACAGGAAAGAAGGGAAATAGACCAAATGGGTAGTACAAATTAGTGGTACAAGTCATCCTTTTTTAAAAAAAATATTCTATATTTAAGGCAAGTCATCATTTTAAATGCCTATACTGAACGCAGGGCTGGCCTTAGGTGTTCCAGCGCCCTGTGCGAGCTAATCTTGTGGCGCCCCCCCCCCCCACCTAAACATACACAAAGAGGAAAACAGTCTTTGTAACAAACTGTTTTTTAATTACAGATAATTTAAGTGCAAACAAGTACAATAATAAATAACTGGATTGACTGGTAACAATAATGTATATTAAATACACAGAACTCTCCACGATACCGGCTATAGACCTATCAGGTCCACTCCGACACCCACCCCGCACAACATTACATGAGAACCCGGGGGACACTCTAGCTACCTGCTCCCCTCAGGGATCTACACGTGAACACAAATAGCCCTCATTACCTACCGATTAGCACTATTCCCCTATACCAAACACACAAAAGGGCGCAATATTCTTAAGCCACGCAATTGTATGTAACTGCCTCCGCTTAGACCGCACCAGCCGAAGTGGCGATGCTTAATATCGACATTACACAAACTAACAAGTTAATGATATGGAAGGAGAGCACACAGCGATCCCCCACAGCTAGGTCAGGCACTGAATAGTCACTAAGCCCCCTCGGCATATGCCCTGACCAACCTCATAATGCCGATTAACCCCCCCCCTACGTATAAAGTGGGTGCAGGGTTGGTCGGCAACCTATTGTACATGCTCCACCAATTATGATCAGGTTTATTTCTGTTGATAATGTTTGTCTTTGTTAGAAACATAGCCGACCGAACCTGTATTGCCTTTCTGCTCCATAAGCATAGTTGATAGGCTCACAGGAACTATACCGGCTGCTCATGAGGTTATCTTGTTATCTAATATAAAAATGCATGGTGTTGGTGTTCCAAAATATTTTTTGATTACTCCAGCACTCTTCTGGTCCTCCAAATCCATAAGGGCCCTTCGTTTTCGATTCTGAGCACCTGACAGTTTTTTGGGACCCATAATGCTGCTACACGATACAATAAAAAATATATATTTAAAAGAGAGGCCCTTTTAAGTATAGATGCAAAAGAAATGCAAGATTTGCAGCAGCAGTGTACAGATAATATGAATTTCCTAAATGTAGTACGCCAACATTTGCGCCAAATAAAGTATAGATAAATAAATAAGCATTGCAGGTATTCATCAAATGAATAAGACATCCAAACCTTGTATTTCCAGGTATAGATTAAATAACATAACACATGGAAACATAACATTACATGTGTAGAACAACTAAACATAAAAATCACAACATAAAAATCACATGCTAACACAGTAGTGAAGATATAGATCAACTATAGATCAGCTTCAATGTCACTGTCGGGGGTCTTTGCACATTTGGCAAATTCCCAGACAGTGACAGTGCCACTTTAATAGTATAATCCACAAAGTCAGTTTATGTATTGTAGAAACAAGAGCAATGTTGTTAGTACACTATATTTAACCATTTTACAACACTAAGCATGTATAGCCTCTCCCTCATTTCTTAAACCCACGTCTTTGTTTGGCCCCCTCTAGACAATTTCAGGCACACAATATGCCGCCTTCACCCCCTTCACCAAAACCCTTGGCCACTTCTTCAATAAAACCCCTGCCCCCTTCATCAGACCCTGCCCCCCCTTCATCAGATACTGCCTCTATTCATCAGACCCTGTACCCTTCATCAATCCCCAGGCTGCACCCCTTCATCAACCCTTTGCACCCCTTAATCAGACCCTGCCTCCCTTAATCAAACCCCTGCCCCCCTTAATCATAACCTGGCATCCATGCCCAGTCCCTTGCCCCCCTTAATTAGACCCAGTGTCACCCATAGCCAGTCCCAGTCCCCTGCCCCCC